TGTTCCACGAATAAATGCAGTTGTAAAAGCAAGGGACTCTTGTGCAATTCAAAATGCCATAACAGTTTAAGTTGTTGCAATAAATAAGATTGTATAATGTTAATCACATAATTTATGTGTAAGTTTATTATTGTATTATTTTCTTTAATGATATAGAATGTACTGTTCGTTTTAGGTTCAACAGTTTATTTACATGTACTATTACTTAAGCTTTCTCCTATTTTGACATATTAAAAAGTTGCATTTTTGTCTTAACGTAATAAAAATATTTTTATTCAACATTCACCATCAGCGCATTCTGAATGTCGACATTTGCCGGTGTAAGTGAGAAATAACGATATTTATCAAATATTTCGGACATACACGAAACGACTGTGTGAATGTTGACATTCGCCAGATTTCGGTCATTCACAGTAACAGAGTTCTGTTTGTTTCAGCTTGACTAGTAAAACTTGTACAGAAATAGAAACAGTAGGTTAGTATAAGATACGTAAAATTTCGATAAGTTATCAGGAAGAGAATTGAAATTATTTTAAAGATAAAATTCAGGAATTATTATTGCCTTACTGTCCTTATTCAATTTATTATTATACATTTGTCAACATGGACATTAATCATTAACAGGACAATTATACTGATGTTAAGCATTTACACAAGAATTGAGGAAAAGTTCTTAAAGTAAACCGACTTTCTTTATTAAGGTACCTGTCGTAGCTTAATAAAGTCTGTTCACTTTAAGAACTTTTCCTCAATTCTTGTGTAAATGCTTAACATCATTATAATTGTCCAGTTAATGATTAATGTCCATGTTGACAAATATATAATAATAAAAATAAAATTCAGGAGATTGTTACTATCTTGAATATTTGTATAACATGTTACCGGCCAAACCCGATTTAAGGCCAAACTAGTTTATCCTACGCATGTCAGGATATACTAGTTTAGTTTAGGATAAACTAGTTTGGCCGAAATACTTTAGGCTTAAATAGTTTGACCTAGGCCGAACTTATTTATGTACCAGAAATAGGTGCCAGTGTAAAAAAAAATGATTTTGTGTAATTCGAAATGCCACTACAGTACACCGAGTGGTTAAAGTGTACCTAGGTAACCCCAATGGCGGTGCTTCGGTTAGGTTAACTACATTTTTAGTAGACGTTTCTTTTTTTTTTCCTTTTTTTTCAAGAACTACCGTGGATTTCTGATCAATTAATAGAAAAGGTACAATCTCAACGAATTCGTGAACGATTTAATTAACGAACTTTTCTAAAGCCATTGCAATCAATGCAAAAGTTTACCAGGCTGTGAATATCACTTTTCTGGTTTTCTATTGAACGTGGATTGTATTAATACATTACAAAACAGAATATTGGGAGAATTGTATTGATATTTATACAGATTGTGCTGAAGCAATGTTAGGAAAGATTAAGGGAGTTGTTACTCGCATCCTGCAAGAAGCTACAAGATCAACCAAAAGTCAGTGTGTGTTTTCCATAGACAAGCACTAATAAAGAAGTTATTATATATTTAAATACTATTTCGGATTAAGAGGTAAAAATGATCATCTATATAAAATCTCAACCTATTTAATCCAGATGATTTAAAATTTTGTGCTATAAATAGGTAGTGTAGAAACGTACATTTATTCGCATTTTTCACCGGATGCTCGCCCTCTAGTGAAAACAAAACTATTCTATTTGGGTCGTTTGATTCATTCCTGTGTATTATCAGCAGTAAAGATGAAAAGCGATAGAAAAAACAACGCTTACTGTTGGTTCCGAATTGCAATTTCAAAGCCTTACGAGAGCCTGATATGTTTTCGTCTATTCCCACACGAAAAACGGGAAAAATAGATGATTATTCGGAAATTGATCGGTTATATTTATGAGCTCTGAATTCTAAAAGAGTATTAAGAATTGACAGTTTCCCGATTGTCCAGCACGAACAAGTTATGCTGTTAATTTTAAAACAAAATATGTTTTAAAAGTTATTTTAAAACATATTTTGTTAAAGTTTAAAATGCCAGTAATTTTGTGTAGGACACAAGGCCGGATTTAAGCATTTCGAAGCCCTAAGCTGAACTCTGTAAGGCCCCTTACCAACCCTTCACAATTTTAGAAGTCAATCATAAAAAGAAAAGAATTAAATCAGACAATGACTCTGATTTAATACGGATATTGGAAGAAAAAGACGTGAAGTTTCACTAGTTTTCTGTTTTATAACTAAGTTTAATTAAATTTTTATACCCATTCCATTAAAAATCTTTTTTTCAATTGGCTTTTATCAATTTTTTTAAAAAGATCTTATGTTAATTCTTAGAAAAAAATTAATGAAATACTACACAAAATAAACAGTAAAGTATATTTTGTTGGTTTGTAAAAAAAATGTTTATTACAAAATCTGACTTCAATTTTCTTTTTTATACAAATGTTTGAGGTCACTTGAAAGTCGAGGCTTTTTATTTGTAAATCCGGCCCTGATGGGACAATGTCAAACTTGATGTTTTTTAACACAAAGGGCACAAATATGTGTAGACAAATTTTACACAATTGTCTAACACTATTGTAATATAAGTAGATAACAATGCCTAGGAGAAATGCATCTGAAAGTAAAAAATTCATAGGTGACAGTAAAAGTTTAATTATTTAATTTAATATTGTGTTGCAGATTTTAATTGACTCAACTCAAAATCGGTATAGGAAGAAAAGGAAAAAGTTCTTTTCGGAAGTGTTTTTAAATACAATTTTTTAAAAAGATTAGGAAAAGTAAAATGTTAATACATTTGAAAAATTCTTGCCACATAATTTCAAAATCAGAACTGTGTCCTCTTACTTTTTAAAGCGAAGAAATATAATTATTCGACCGAAGTTTCCTTCACCTTTTATTATTAGTATACAGGGAAATCTGATGCGTTAATTTATCACAAAATCGCATTACAATCGGAATTTAGGTTATGACTAAACGACACTATAAATACAAATTTTACCAGTAATTGAAAATTGTAGTTTATAATAAATATTCTAAATAACAAGCAGAATATTAAATTGATTAACCATTACTAATAAAAAGAAATAAGTATATACAGTAGTTTATTTTCCGCAGTATTCTTAATTTTATTATAATGAAAATTAGGGAATTATTGATTAAATAATAATTTTAAAATTATATTTTTATATTTTGATTAATTATAACTTAAGTTTTCAAATTAATTTTTCTATAAGAAATAAAAATATTTTTAACTAGCAAACTCATAGACCATTATAATACGAATTAAATCTTCAGAATTATAACAGAGAAATACATTTTTGAGAATGAAAAAAGCCAAATAAGGTAAGATAAATACAATTTTATTTGAGAGAGAATTGCATGAATGAAGAAAAATAAATAGGCCATCAATTACTTTTTTTGATATTTTCAAAGTTCAAATTTCAGATAAATGTATTTATTTAAAGTTGATAACATCTCACGTACTATTTTTAAGCATAAAGTATAAAATGTCTTAAATTCTTAGTCAAATAACAAATTGGCTTTTCAAAAATGTAAGATATGATACGATAAATGTATTTTACCATTCAAGTTTTGTATCTTAATGGATAATATTTAGTAAACGCATCGGTTTAGGTGTTAGCATGGGTTATTAATTTGTTGATATAACTGATATAAATATAGAAATATATTGAGCATTTCTGTTTAAGTTGTAGAAGAGTTATAATGTTTTTAAGGGGATTAGTGTTGTCAATTATTTATTTTTTCACGGTTTTGGATCGTAAAAGAGAATACAGAAAAATGTTCGAAAACGAATATGACTACGTTATAGGTGAGCTTTTACAAAATTTATATTATAATCCGTAAAGGACAAACTTTAATTAAATACTTCATAATTCTGATAAGCTTAAGAAAAAAACTTGCGGATATTGTGATATCAGATTTATTTTATGACAAAATCAGTAGAGACTATCATCTGATTCTATATTTTATGTTTAAAGGTTTATATCAGGAACCCTCTCACCTAGAACGTAAATGTACTAAGTGAGATGTTCCTAACACTAATCTTATCAATAATTTTATTTTTCCATTAAAACTGTTTTCTTAAAACTCTTTCCGTCCTGAGAGCACCAGGAGGGCCTCTTTTTAGCATGCTCTTCATGGGTTCGACCTGGTCCAAAACGGAGCGACCGGATGGTGAGAAAGGAGGGGTGACGAGGAACATATCCAAAAGGACAACTCCTAAAAATTCCTGAGGTTTTTCGACCAGTCCGGATCCGATTCCTAGTCCCCCAAAGCAAGCTGTTAACCGCTCGGTCATCCGGCTATCAAATTAACATTTTGTTTTATATAACTCAATATAAAATATATTTAGAGCAATTTCTTTTTTCAGGCTACAATGTAACATTTAGGCTAATGAACGTTTTGTAATGTTAGTAATTATTTATGTTATCATTAACTTTATATAAAATAAAATTTGTTATAGTACCTGATATCGTGAGTTTTATCAACAATGTGCTGTTTTCTGCAGGAAAAAATTAATTTTCAGGATTTAAGATTTTCAAGTTTGAATTTTATATAACTGTATATTAGTTACATTAAAATATTTATTATTTAGCATATAAATGGAGTTCTATACGTTGTATTTAGCCATTTTTCGACTTTTAAAAGTTAATAAGAAAAGGAAAATTAATTTTACAGTGGGAGGTGGAACAGCAGGATCGGTGTTAGCTAATCGATTGTCTGCCAATCCCAAGAATAAAGTTCTTCTGTTAGAAGCTGGTAGTGATGAGAATGTTATTTCAGACATTCCTCTGTTTGCTTTCGGTTTACAAAGAACTTCCATGGATTGGGAATATTTAACCGAACCACAGAGATTTGCTTGCTTCGGTTCAAAGGAAAAAGTATGTAGTCTGTATAAAAATTTAATAAATAAGTATGTAATGCTTTTAAAACTTTATAATGAAAAATAGTTTTAAAAACGATTCGATATTTGGTAAAATTACTATATAATTATTCAGGTAAACTATTTTTGTTTATTGTGAAGTATAAAGCAGAAATTAATTGCATTTATATCACAAAAAGTGAGTTTTACAATTGTCAGATAAAATTATTATTTTTTATTTTTATAAAAAAATATTTAAATAATTTTATAAACTTTCTGTAAATGTATAAAACATTAAAAATAAATCTTTGGTATGGAGACAATTCAACACATGTGGAAAACATTTCCATTAAAAAAAATTAGTACTAAAATTCATCACTATGACAAGTTTTGCGTTTTGGATCTAAATTCATTTGATTTTTATTTCTTTTGTCTGTATGTCCTTACTGTATTTAATTTTGATTATATCATTGTCTACATTGGACTTAGTATGTTAATACGACTTATTATACAGGTGTTATTTCAGTTTTTGCAAAAAGAGGAGATTTTATCCAGAAAAAACAAAATCTTTATTTTTCACTTACTGAAAAATAAAGATCATATAACCATTTGATTTTTGGTTGTGGGGACACTTGAAAAGTGTGATTTATCAAGGGAACGTTGTAAATTTGGAGACATTTAAAGCCATCACAGAGAATCGATGAGAGTAAGTCATTTCCTTCTGGTTATAAACCAGGTGGAGTTTTCTGGATTTTCTTCACATGTCTAACCACTAAATAAGGACCAATTTTCCACAGAAAGTCCGCCCGGGAGGCACCCTCTCGGGAGATTGCCAATGTGTTGTCCTTTCCCATCAATTCAACCACGTTGAGCAGTTTCCCTGAGTTGCCAGGTCTCTATAACACGAGTGTCTTGTAAAAATAAAAGATTGCTTGAGCGCTAAATGTCATAGTGGAGCATTTTATACTATATTTGTTTTTCTTTAGAAAATCCGTCTTCGGCATGTCCTGAAATGTTATCATTCCAGACATGTTTGCATTTAGACTGTTAAATATTTTTCTGAATGCCACATTTGGACTTCCAGATATGCCTACTGGTTAACTCAGTGAAGTACAGTACTCAAGATTTTCCGAGCTATTGTACCGACTTGGGGTTCTCACCAACTTCCAACTAACAAAATTTTTTTAATATTTAAAACTTTTTTTGTTGTAAAAAAAATTTAACATCGAACATGAGAGGAAAAATCAATCTAAAGGTAATCAAGAAAATAAAAATTATGGATTGGACAAACAAGAAAGCATTAATATGTTTCTTATACAGTATAAGTAAAAAATGGCCATATTTATTTTGTTTTGTAGAAATAGTTCTCAAGCCCTTGTCTGGGTCTCTTTATTTCATGAGCCCTTAAGAGTCCTTAACTGAGCTTAATAGTAGTTACACCATTAGTGGTATCTTAAAAATTCTTATTTTACTAAGGGATGAAAAATATGGAGAAAGCAAAACAGGGACCTTTCCGCATAAAGAATAAATGAAATTAAATTTCAATATCTAATTTACTTAAACTTGTTTTATGAACGAAAGTGTAGAAAAAAGCGTCATTAAGTCCGACTCTACTCGAAATATGACACACGACCTCCTTTCTCTTCCCACCTCGTAACCTTTAACCACAAAATTTAATAGCATTAATCCCTCTAATACAGTATACAAATCTCCCGCAAAATTTCAGAAATTTTCGATAAAAAGCACAGGAGTTATTAAGCTTCAAAGAGGGTGAACAAAATCGTGCCCCCTAAACAGAGTAATATCCACACATATAGAAAAAAAACTGAATTTTTTTCCATTTTCGACGTTTCAAGGTTCCCTGAGTCCAAAAATTTAAAAATCTTATGGGGTCATTTTTTGACCGATCGTCATACTTTCCCTTTGTTATATATAACAGAGCCAAGAAAGTAATAAATGTAATTAATTGATATTGCTCATAATTGAAATTCTCTTTTTTATAATATTTCAAAATAATTTAATAATTAATTTTATCTTTATTTGAAAAATGAGCCGCTAAAATGCTATTTGTGGCCCGAAAAAATTTAGCCTAATATATTTTAAGTTTGTCTCTCTACCTACTGCCAATTTACGTAGGACTGTTTTAATTTTTACGACCTGTAATTATATTACACATAATTGAAAAATATGTTTTAGATATGAAAGCGATTTTCCCGAGAAAGATAATGATTAAAAAGTATTTTATATTTAGCGTTGCAGGTGGCCTAGAGGAAAAGCTTTAGGAGGTTCAAGTGTTCTCAATTTCATGTTTTATATCAGAGGAAATCGCAGAGATTACGACAATTGGTCTCGACAAGGTGCCTATGGCTGGAGTTGGAATGATGTTTTTCCTTATTTCCTTAAATCTGAAGATAATACTGATATACATATGAGCAATAGTGGTAAATATAAAACTTAATTAATAGTTAAGTATTAAATACTAAACTTAAACCGAATTGTTCGTAAACAGTGGCGTTCGTATCCCGAGGCTTGAGTAAATTTCTGGTTACGAACAATTCGGTTTACAAACAACATTTTGAACTCCATATTTACTCCGGTTGCCGTACGACAAATCGGTTTCCAAACAATCTACTTAGCAGAGCTGGCCACCGATGGTCAACTCTCTATACTTTCTGTGTTAATTAAAGTCGACAGGACTACCGATTTAGAAGTTAGTGGCACCGAGGTCGCCTCGCGTCATCACGTGCGCGGCTTTCACTACCTATCCAACACGAATCCTTTTTCAAATATTAATAGTAGGCCGGTATTAATAAGTAATCGTTGACCATTCTCTCTTCCGGAAGGAGGTCAACGACTACTTTTGGTCGAATTACTTCAAACCCCTTCCGCCACAGCCCCTTCTTTCTATCAGATTCACTGTCATGATGACATTCGAATAGGAAAATTGTATAAAACAAAGTTACCGGCCAGCATAAAATATGTTTCAATTAAGTAATTTCTCAGGGTGCCAAGTTTAAATATTTAGTCCATTTTTTTCGTGAAATTTGATTGGTTGGCAGATTACCATTTGATATTCCGCTGCGAATGGTACAGTTTCTTAGAGTTAACATTAGGAAAAAGTAGGATATCTTTTAAGTTTTTAAGAAATATTTTCAATTGGTGTCTATTTGACCAATGAGAATGTGCCATTTCATACCGTTCGAATATGGCAATAAATGTGACAATGGTAGGCTAAAATAAACAAACTCTTTATATAGTGTTCGTTCTAATGTTCAGTGTTTGATTTAGGCCTANGGATAATCGAGGTTCTACTGTATAACAAAAAAGCGAAGAACAGTGCGAATTAACCTTTCCGTTCAGTGTTGCTATTTCAAAAACAGATCACTTTCATTTATATGTTCAAGTTCCATGTTGTGCCGTCAAGCTATAGCACTTACCAAATTAAATAATATAGAAGTCCGAGTTAGGAATCCGTGTCCAGCTTTAGACTCGAATCCCCTATATTATTACATCTAAGTTTTGTGTTTTGGGATCTTTATGTGTTTTACCTAAGAAATAAGCACTAATATTTTTACATAAAAAAAGATAATGTGATGCTTGTTCACCCAGTGATATCTTACGCATCATTCACTGTTTACACACGACTATCATTGCAATATTCTTTAATTATCATCGTTATTTTTTTCTTCTAGCAAAAATAAAGACATGTGACTTTTTTACACTTTCGACTTTTATAGTATCATATATGATTGAATTTAAAAATTTATATTGTATTTTAAAATAGAATATCTATTGAGTTCTATAACTCGCGTATACATTAGAATACTGAAAGCTGTAAATTATTTTAACATTAAGATTTAATTTTATAGTAGGAGGAGGATCAGTCTTATCTAATGGACTGTCCCCAAATCCCAAGAATAAAGTTCTACTTTTAGAAGCTAGTAATGACGAAAACATTGACACAGATATTCCTTTTTTCGCTTTTGATTTACAAAGAATTTCTATGTATTGGCAATATTTGTCAGAACCTCAGAGATTTTCTTGTTTTGGCTTAGAAGAAGAAGTATGTAGTTTCATAAAAACAATTTTTTTCAATCAAAAAATAATTTATTCAAAGATTTATGTTGTATTTCATACATTTACAAAATATTATAACTGCTTAAATATTTAGAATAGTGATAGACATTATACTAAAAATTTTGAATGAAAAAATAAACGTTGACAATCATAAAGTTTTTCCCTTATTTTGTAGAGTTGTTACTGTGAAAGACCGAAATTAGAGAATGTCGATATTCTCCGGTGAATGTTGACACACACAAAATACGTAGGTGAAAGACCGAATATTTTGTTATATTATTATACATTCGAACAATCACCGGTGTATGTCGACAAGCACAGATAAGCTTTGGTGGAGGTCGAAACGACACCCGAGAAGCCGATGTCGACGGAGAGGCGACAGTCTGTCGCCAAATTCTTCGCCGTTTCCTTCTTCAAAAATTGGTGATACCGTATGAACACAAGTCCCTGATGTTGACCGTGGCCGTACAGATGCCCGAAATGTGTTGGCAGTTGTTGTTAGAATAGAAGACTCCGACTTTTATAAATTAGCAAACAAAAATGATACCCTAAAGCAACTTTATACCCGTAATCAGTTCGTAATTTGTAAAGAAAATTTTCCATAGGTAAGATTTCTTCTCAAGAAATATCGCTGAGAGAAGCAGCTGCAGCTAATTCGAAAAGTGGAGGGCAAGGCTATACACGCTGTCATTGCAAAAAAAAAGTGTTCCACGAATAAATGCAGTTGTAAAAGCAAGAGACTCTTGTGCAATTCAAAATGCCATAACAGTTTAAGTTGTTGCAATAAATAAGATTGTATAATGTTAATCACATAATTTATGTGTAAGTTTATTATTGTNTGTAGAAAAAAGCGTCATTAAGTCCGACTCTACTCGAAATATGACACACGACCTCCTTTCTCTTCCCACCTCGTAACCTTTAACCACAAAATTTAATAGCATTAATCCCTCTAATACAGTATACAAATCTCCCGCAAAATTTCAGAAATTTTCGATAAAAAGCACAGGAGTTATTAAGCTTCAAAGAGGGTGAACAAAATCGTGCCCCCTAAACAGAGTAATATCCACACATATAGAAAAAAAACTGAATTTTTTTCCATTTTCGACGTTTCAAGGTTCCCTGAGTCCAAAAATTTAAAAATCTTATGGGGTCATTTTTTGACCGATCGTCATACTTTCCCTTTGTTATATATAACAGAGCCAAGAAAGTAATAAATGTAATTAATTGATATTGCTCATAATTGAAATTCTCTTTTTTATAATATTTCAAAATAATTTAATAATTAATTTTATCTTTATTTGAAAAATGAGCCGCTAAAATGCTATTTGTGGCCCGAAAAAATTTAGCCTAATATATTTTAAGTTTGTCTCTCTACCTACTGCCAATTTACGTAGGACTGTTTTAATTTTTACGACCTGTAATTATATTACACATAATTGAAAAATATGTTTTAGATATGAAAGCGATTTTCCCGAGAAAGATAATGATTAAAAAGTATTTTATATTTAGCGTTGCAGGTGGCCTAGAGGAAAAGCTTTAGGAGGTTCAAGTGTTCTCAATTTCATGTTTTATATCAGAGGAAATCGCAGAGATTACGACAATTGGTCTCGACAAGGTGCCTATGGCTGGAGTTGGAATGATGTTTTTCCTTATTTCCTTAAATCTGAAGATAATACTGATATACATATGAGCAATAGTGGTAAATATAAAACTTAATTAATAGTTAAGTATTAAATACTAAACTTAAACCGAATTGTTCGTAAACAGTGGCGTTCGTATCCCGAGGCTTGAGTAAATTTCTGGTTACGAACAATTCGGTTTACAAACAACATTTTGAACTCCATATTTACTCCGGTTGCCGTACGACAAATCGGTTTCCAAACAATCTACTTAGCAGAGCTGGCCACCGATGGTCAACTCTCTATACTTTCTGTGTTAATTAAAGTCGACAGGACTACCGATTTAGAAGTTAGTGGCACCGAGGTCGCCTCGCGTCATCACGTGCGCGGCTTTCACTACCTATCCAACACGAATCCTTTTTCAAATATTAATAGTAGGCCGGTATTAATAAGTAATCGTTGACCATTCTCTCTTCCGGAAGGAGGTCAACGACTACTTTTGGTCGAATTACTTCAAACCCCTTCCGCCACAGCCCCTTCTTTCTATCAGATTCACTGTCATGATGACATTCGAATAGGAAAATTGTATAAAACAAAGTTACCGGCCAGCATAAAATATGTTTCAATTAAGTAATTTCTCAGGGTGCCAAGTTTAAATATTTAGTCCATTTTTTTCGTGAAATTTGATTGGTTGGCAGATTACCATTTGATATTCCGCTGCGAATGGTACAGTTTCTTAGAGTTAACATTAGGAAAAAGTAGGATATCTTTTAAGTTTTTAAGAAATATTTTCAATTGGTGTCTATTTGACCAATGAGAATGTGCCATTTCATACCGTTCGAATATGGCAATAAATGTGACAATGGTAGGCTAAAATAAACAAACTCTTTATATAGTGTTCGTTCTAATGTTCAGTGTTTGATTTAGGCCTATATAACTACAAAGATATTCTTATGTAGTGGTTCTTTATTCGTGTACTATATACAATTGAAAAAATTTTTTAAATGTGTTAGATTGGTCATTCGATGCGATAAATCTTTGTAAATATAAATGAAATAATATAATATAATAGAAGGATTAGAAGTACGAATAATTTAATAATCATAACCTTTGTTATTGTTACTTTTTGCCCGGACAACGCCGGGTTCATCTGCTAGTAATATTATTTATTTATTTGTACTATTTATAGGTAGCCAGTCAATTAAAACTAAAACTAAAAAAATAAAAATAAAAATTAATTAATTAATTAAAATTAAAATTGAAATGAAATTAATTGAAAGATAATACTGTACTTCGGAAAGTATCTCTAATAATTTCTAGATATAAATAATAAACTACTGTATTATATTGCATGTGTAGGCATTTTTATGCATGAAATACAGCTAAAAAGGTAAGAAAAAAAGGCTTTGTTTTGGGGGTTGGAAATGGGAATACATTTTATATTGTTTCTGATAGGAAAATATGTTTCGGTTTGAGAACAAATCGGTTTCCGAACAACTTTTATTAATGAATTAAGTTCGTAAACCGAGATTTGACTGTATAGTATATCTGAAAATATTTGTGCATTTTAATAAAGTTAATTTGAAATCTTTTGTAATTATATTTTGTATTGGAAACAAGTGTATAATGGATCAATTTATTTGAAAAAAGAGAGTATAAATTAGTTAATCAAAGCTAATTATATAATTTCTTACAGGTTTTCATAACGTAGGTGGTCCTCAAACAGTTTCTTCTCCTCGATACGCAACTCCTCTTCGAAATGCATTTTTGAAAACTGGAGAATTCTTAGGTTATCCTGTTAGTGACGCTAACGATGATATTCAAACAGGTTAGTTTGTACCATGTTTTTCATACTTAAATTAATAATACAAAAGTACTTAGGCATAATTGAAACTATATGACAATATAATTATTTTACGCTTTTCGATTTTAAAAAAGTCAATATTTCTGTTATAATCATATATGTATATTTGTGAAAGTTATCTTTAAATTTATAGAAGTAATTTTATGTATTTTACTATCTCCAAGTGAAATTTTCAGATTTACTATACTGTATATATAGGGTAGAGCGGAGGTTTGTTTCGGCATAAATCACATTTGTTTCAATATTTTCGATCCGCCAACATTCACGCACCCACCCACAGAGAAAAACACGCTAACGTTTATACATACAGAAAAAACTCCAACTTCTTTTGCATTTCTCAACGTTACAAGGTCTCCTAGTCCAAAACTGTAAAATTCTTGGCTGCAATTTTTTTGCCTATCGCCATACTTTCCTCCTGCTCTAACTTATATAACAGCCGGGAAAGTAAAATATTGATCAATCAATTTATTATTTGATAGTATGATTCTAATAATCGACTAAAATGCAGTGGATTTTACTGTTTTGAGAGGGTTCTTGCTGTTGATTGTAATAGCCAAGAATCACAATAAAACAGTACTTATCGAGAATCACGAAAATGAATCCCCACTAAGTGAAAATTCACTGATTGACTTATATATGTATACATACAAACATACAGGAAAATAAGAGTTGCCGATTTTCGGGTCAATTTCTCCACCTCTCCCAAACGTCTAAGTAATTCGATAGGTAATTGTTTCCTTAGGTAGTGTGCAACATTTCAAGATTTACTAGAAAGCAGTTTCCGAAATATAAACAATTAAAAAGTGCAAAAATCTCCAAAAAACTATTTTTTTCTTCATCAGGCACTGCAGACACTTAAGCTTGGCGCTTGAAAGCGATTTGTAGACAACAATGAAAGAAATAAGAATCTTGTGGGTATCGCTTTGAAGCGCCAAGCTTATCTTTACGAAAGAAAAACGCCTAAGAAAAATTTTCACATCTAAATTGTCATAAGTTTTTACTTGGCGCAGATTTTTACATTTTAGATGTTTTTGTTTTTGTTTGGATTATATATAACATAAACAATGATATAATACATGAATAAATACTTAATGACGTTTCTTTTTCAAAACAGAAGCGACACTGAAAATACCAATCATATAAAACTGAAGCAGTTAAAAAAATTTTTCATTCGTTTGCACAGTTTGCAGTTTGCAAGAGATCAATTGCGTTTATATGATTGGATAGTAGGTATGCAAAAACACAAAGAATTTTAAATATTATTTAACATGTTTTCTCATGGTCAAAAAGGAAATTTTATTTGTCAGCTATTAAGTAATAAAAACTTTCACTACGCTGCTTAGTGCAAATCGTTCTTGAAGCAGATGATATTTGTGTCTGAGGTTCACAGAATCTTTTTTTTTTCAAGCTGCTAAATTCTGGATGCCCCCGACAATCAGAGATCCAAGCGCCCACTTCTTGGGCATGTGCCATGATCCGCCACTGCTTCAAAGACTTCAAAGTCGACTAGCTAATTTAGCGAGCATAATAGTAAGCAAATTAAAGAAAATTAAAGAAAAAAGAAAAGTGCTTACTATTAATATCAAGGTCCCAAATAAAATGAATGTTTGAATAACAATACGGAATAGAACAATAAAATTAGTACATTTACTTTTTGACCTCCCATTGTATAATGAAAATTTCTAAACCTGTTACTTATTCTTTGTTTTAGTCATATTCCAATAGATTATGCAATAAATTAAAGTAGAAATTATAAATATGAGTGATGTCAATATTTGTAGGTATATGCAGATGTTGTGTAGCATTACTCAACGACTGTAAATAAATAAATAAACATTGCCATAATATTGTCATATGTTGAGACAACTCTCATTATAGGCTATCCTCGTCATTTCGAAATTCAAAGGATGAAATAATCGCCACTTCGATTATTGAGTTTCAAATTATCCGAGTTTATGTATTTCTATACAGTATGCCAAATGCCATGTAAATGATGCAATTTAGTAAGCAAATGAAATATGGATATGTATACAGAACTCTATTTTCGTTAATTAATAATTAATTATAATAATATACATAAACTTCGAGTAAACAGCACGTGTCCTGTAAGAACCTCATAGGTTGACAGATAGATTTTATAAAACGTAAAACAGAATTCCTCGAAATGTAGCCCAAATTATTTTTTAAGTGACTCAAAAAATAGTAAGTCGCCCAAATGTAGTAGCCTAGAGCCCTACAAATATCTCAACCTGTTACTTGTAGTCCAATCTTGCAATCCCGAAATCCACCATATTTTATGAGATAAGAGAAAAAGGGTTGTCCGTGGGTAAGGTGACATCAAAACTGTGATAGCAAAGGGCTTTGCTTTTAAAGTATCACAGTTTCACAAAAGTTTTGTTCTCTTATAGTATTGGCATTTCAATCTAAACGAACCAGTTAAAATACGTATATCGAATTTCGAATTAACAAGGATTTTCTGTATATTGTTTGTCACAAAAGCATCATAACAGAATACAGGTAGACACGAGAGCAAATGAGACATTTTCTAAGTTTGAGTGTTTATAGTATAAAAACATATATATTTTTATTGATAGGTTTTACTTATATTTCATCCACAACCAGATTTGGAAGACGATGCAGCACTAATAAAGCATTTTTGTTACAATTGAAATGAAATTAATTGAAAGATAATACTGTACTTCGGAAAGTATCTCTAATAATTTCTAGATATAAATAATAAACTACTGTATTATATTGCATGTGTAGGCATTTTTATGCATGAAATACAGCTAAAAAGGTAAGAAAAAAAGGCTTTGTTTTGGGGGTTGGAAATGGGAATACATTTTATATTGTTTCTGATAGGAAAATATGTTTCGGTTTGAGAACAAATCGGTTTCCGAACAACTTTTATTAATGAATTAAGTTCGTAAACCGAGATTTGACTGTATAGTATATCTGAAAATATTTGTGCATTTTAATAAAGTTAATTTGAAATCTTTTGTAATTATATTTTGTATTGGAAACAAGTGTATAATGGATCAATTTATTTGAAAAAAGAGAGTATAAATTAGTTAATCAAAGCTAATTATATAATTTCTTACAGGTTTTCATAACGTAGGTGGTCCTCAAACAGTTTCTTCTCCTCGATACGCAACTCCTCTTCGAAATGCATTTTTGAAAACTGGAGAATTCTTAGGTTATCCTGTTAGTGACGCTAACGATGATATTCAAACAGGTTAGTTTGTACCATGTTTTTCATACTTAAATTAATAATACAAAAGTACTTAGGCATAATTGAAACTATATGACAATATAATTATTTTACGCTTTTCGATTTTAAAAAAGTCAATATTTCTGTTATAATCATATATGTATATTTGTGAAAGTTATCTTTAAATTTATAGAAGTAATTTTATGTATTTTACTATCTCCAAGTGAAATTTTCAGATTTACTATACTGTATATATAGGGTAGAGCGGAGGTTTGTTTCGGCATAAATCACATTTGTTTCAATATTTTCGATCCGCCAACATTCACGCACCCACCCACAGAGAAAAACACGCTAACGTTTATACATACAGAAAAAACTCCAACTTCTTTTGCATTTCTCAACGTTACAAGGTCTCCTAGTCCAAAACTGTAAAATTCTTGGCTGCAATTTTTTTGCCTATCGCCATACTTTCCTCCTGCTCTAACTTATATAACAGCCGGGAAAGTAAAATATTGATCAATCAATTTATTATTTGATAGTATGATTCTAATAATCGACTAAAATGCAGTGGATTTTACTGTTTTGAGAGGGTTCTTGCTGTTGATTGTAATAGCCAAGAATCACAATAAAACAGTACTTATCGAGAATCACGAAAATGAATCCCCACTAAGTGAAAATTCACTGATTGACTTATATATGTATACATACAAACATACAGGAAAATAAGAGTTGCCGATTTTCGGGTCAATTTCTCCACCTCTCCCAAACGTCTAAGTAATTCGATAGGTAATTGTTTCCTTAGGTAGTGTGCAACATTTCAAGATTTACTAGAAAGCAGTTTCCGAAATATAAACAATTAAAAAGTGCAAAAATCTCCAAAAAACTATTTTTTTCTTCATCAGGCACTGCAGACACTTAAGCTTGGCGCTTGAAAGCGATTTGTAGACAACAATGAAAGAAATAAGAATCTTGTGGGTATCGCTTTGAAGCGCCAAGCTTATCTTTACGAAAGAAAAACGCCTAAGAAAAATTTTCACATCTAAATTGTCATAAGTTTTTACTTGGCGCAGATTTTTACATTTTAGATGTTTTTGTTTTTGTTTGGATTATATATAACATAAACAATGATATAATACATGAATAAATACTTAATGACGTTTCTTTTTCAAAACAGAAGCGACACTGAAAATACCAATCATATAAAACTGAAGCAGTTAAAAAAATTTTTCATTCGTTTGCACAGTTTGCAGTTTGCAAGAGATCAATTGCGTTTATATGATTGGATAGTAGGTATGCAAAAACACAAAGAATTTTAAATATTATTTAACATGTTTTCTCATGGTCAAAAAGGAAATTTTATTTGTCAGCTATTAAGTAATAAAAACTTTCACTACGCTGCTTAGTGCAAATCGTTCTTGAAGCAGATGATATTTGTGTCTGAGGTTCACAGAATCTTTTTTTTTTCAAGCTGCTAAATTCTGGATGCCCCCGACAATCAGAGATCCAAGCGCCCACTTCTTGGGCATGTGCCATGATCCGCCACTGCTTCAAAGACTTCAAAGTCGACTAGCTAATTTAGCGAGCATAATAGTAAGCAAATTAAAGAAAATTAAAGAAAAAAGAAAAGTGCTTACTATTAATATCAAGGTCCCAAATAAAATGAATGTTTGAATAACAATACGGAATAGAACAATAAAATTAGTACATTTACTTTTTGACCTCCCATTGTATAATGAAAATTTCTAAACCTGTTACTTATTCTTTGTTTTAGTCATATTCCAATAGATTATGCAATAAATTAAAGTAGAAATTATAAATATGAGTGATGTCAATATTTGTAGGTATATGCAGATGTTGTGTAGCATTACTCAACGACTGTAAATAAATAAATAAACATTGCCATAATATTGTCATATGTTGAGACAACTCTCATTATAGGCTATCCTCGTCATTTCGAAATTCAAAGGATGAAATAATCGCCACTTCGATTATTGAGTTTCAAATTATCCGAGTTTATGTATTTCTATACAGTATGCCAAATGCCATGTAAATGATGCAATTTAGTAAGCAAATGAAATATGGATATGTATACAGAACTCTATTTTCGTTAATTAATAATTAATTATAATAATATACATAAACTTCGAGTAAACAGCACGTGTCCTGTAAGAACCTCATAGGTTGACAGATAGATTTTATAAAACGTAAAACAGAATTCCTCGAAATGTAGCCCAAATTATTTTTTAAGTGACTCAAAAAATAGTAAGTCGCCCAAATGTAGTAGCCTAGAGCCCTACAAATATCTCAACCTGTTACTTGTAGTCCAATCTTGCAATCCCGAAATCCACCATATTTTATGAGATAAGAGAAAAAGGGTTGTCCGTGGGTAAGGTGACATCAAAACTGTGATAGCAAAGGGCTTTGCTTTTAAAGTATCACAGTTTCACAAAAGTTTTGTTCTCTTATAGTATTGGCATTTCAATCTAAACGAACCAGTTAAAATACGTATATCGAATTTCGAATTAACAAGGATTTTCTGTATATTGTTTGTCACAAAAGCATCATAACAGAATACAGGTAGACACGAGAGCAAATGAGACATTTTCTAAGTTTGAGTGTTTATAGTATAAAAACATATATATTTTTATTGATAGGTTTTACTTATATTTCATCCACAACCAGATTTGGAAGACGATGCAGCACTAATAAAGCATTTTTGAAACCTATTCAACATCGCCCTAATTTACATATCTTACTGTTTTCCTTCGTAACTAAGGTAAGAATATATAATAATAATATATTTTCAAATATAAAATCAACTTTTATTGGCCATTTCTTTTTCGAGATTGCGATTGGGGATGGCAGGAGTGCCCTCATCTTCACCATATATATTATATAAGTAGGGAAAGTCGTACAGTACCGACCATTACTAGTTCTGCACTACTGAAACTAGGTAGCAGCATTCTACAGGCATACGCATAAGAATATCATTTTCATAGGTCATACACTTTTAAGATTATTTTGTTTGGTTAATAGGCCTATTGTTGGAACCACAAGTCAGAGAAGGTGCTTTTTGGTATTTAGTGTGTCAAAAGTTATTTTCGCGGTTTTAATTTGAGGATGATTAGTTTATTTCATTTTACGATGTATTTTCTCTATAGTAATATTACGTTAAGATAAATCGTATTAGTTTCACAATATAAAACTGTATACAACGGACAATCTCCAAAATTTTACCAACGTGGCAGAGTCCAGTACAGACCACTTACCTGTCATGCAGTATCAACCAAAAATAATGTTTACGGAAAAAGTCTCAGTTTGTTTTCCTTCTTAATTTAGATAGAAATGGGAGATAAAAAGAAAAAAAAAAGTAAAATGGACCAAATAGATGAAGTTCTTGTGAATATGATTTAATGACAGGCAGCTTCGAAATTTTCAGTTCAAAAAATTAGTGAATCGTATGAGAGCAATCCAAGTTCGAAAAAATATGAGTATGGTCCCTCAGATTGCAGAGGAATTTCAATAAATAAATGGAAAAACAATTCGATTTTTATAAGAAAGGTCAAGATTAAAAATTCATTCATGAAGTATTGCATGTAAGGACTGGGCACATATTAAATGTGCCAATCAAAAAAATATTTTGTACTTTATTTATGACAACGGTAACAAGTGAAGTTCATTGTAAACTTGCGAATATTTATTTCTATGTTTTCTAATATTCTCTTTGTTGAATAAATATTATTATTATCGGTTATAGTACAATAGTACACTATTCTACTATAGTCAAAGAATTTTATACATTTATTCGCTTGAATAAAATCCCTAAAACAATTTAGACTATCATTAAGATTTTAATATCATTTAGAAGAGTAACTGGTCGGTACTGGACGACAATATTTGCACTACCCAAATTCATGACTTTTTTAGTTTAGAAATAATTAGTACTTTAGGAAAAATTTCAGAGCAACTTACCCTGTACTTTATGAAGCTCTTTTTCAGGTATCACATTACTCTTTTAAAATCAATCAGTTTTTCTTGAGTCTTACATTGGTTACAACCAAAAATATTAAGGTGGTCGGTATTGCACAACTCTCTCCTACAGTGTATTTACACCTGTAACACGATTAAATTCTACCTATTGTTATGTTTATGTTTTGGGATGATAGATACTAGACGGGATTACCATAAAACATCATTTAATGCATTTTCATCGAACTTATGTATGTCCTTAAAGTTTAAAAATTCCATTTTATAGGATGAAATTTGAGTTGAAAGATTTGAGAACATGATACAGAGTTAAATAAAAGCGTTTAATAAAGTTGTGTTCGTTTATCAATTAAAATTTTTCAGATTGGAAAAAATTATGACCAAAAATAGTTTTTAGGATAATAATAATATTACTTATAATTTTTTTTGGAATTAAATCTCCATATAATAATTTTGACAGTAATTAATAAAATTTGAAGAATATATTGCACATTGTTATAGTCAATGGCTAAAATATTTTTATGTTTTGTAAGTAAACATAAATCACTGTTATGTATTGTTAGTGAAAAGTAATGTATAAATAAAAATTTCATAAGTGCATTAAACTATAAACTTTATCTTCGAAAGTTAATGTTAACAATTCAGATTAGTCGAAACATTATTTCACAGCTCATACTCTTTATACATAGATTATTTTCAATGAATGTAAGCAAGCTAGAGCGGTCCAATTCAATCGATTCAAGAATACGTATACCGTTTATGCAAGAAAAGAAATAATTATATCAGCTGGAGCCATAAATTCACCTCAATTACTAATGTTATCTGGTATCGGCATTAAAGAGAATTTACAGAAATTTAAGGTGAGTGAGTGTAAGAAAGGCTTATAAAATATAATAGTCGGTCGTTATATCGCGATTTTTTACTTTGAATTTCAAAAGTGTATTAGCCAATAATTTTTTTAAAAATTGTTATCATTGAATTTCTACTGGCAAAGAAATATTAACGTATTCCAATTATTGGCATTGAACTTACCATTGAATGAACCCATATTGAAACCATTATATGAACTCCTATATGAAACTTGTAAAATACACAAGAAAACCTAGTTGTTATTCATATACCATATGAATATCCATCTGATATTCATATGGTTTATCTCTCGACATGTATTACTTGTATTAATTACTGACCAGGATATTAACAAAAGGATAAAAGAAACGGCTTTAAAAATTTCTAAGCGTAAATAGTGTTACGAAAATAAGTCAAATTATTCAAAAACATTTAAACGAAAGTTATTTATTTATTGCCACAATTGATTAGAGAACGATAAGTAAACAAGTACATAAAACTAATTCTGCATTAGTTATAAGTTATTTCCTTCAACCAATTCTTAATGAACTAACATATCAGTAAAAGTGCAAAGTATAAAACACGTGTAAGGTTTAAGAATTAAACTTTAGTCAATTTCTAAATGCATGAATTTATCCAACTTATATTTTAGATTGAGGTAAAGGTACTGTACTGTATATTTGTCTTGTGTAGTGATAATAAATAATATTATTAATGTCTAACTGGTCATTAGTAATACATATTCTTTTAGTATTTATTAGTAATATATTCTAATACTTTTTAAATATTTCTTTATGTAATATTCGATTAGAATATATTTTAATATTCATAAAATATTTTTGATTACTGTTTTATGTATATTAATAATGATGATAATTCATATTTGTGTAATGAACAATATATTTTATACAATATATTAATATAAATAATATATATTTCATATTTGGTATATATAAATATATCTATATATACAAAAGTATATAATAATATATAAACAACGAGATATTTAATTTTTATATATAATATAATAAATGATCACGTAATATGAAATTGGATTTACTAGTATCTTTATACCAACATTTGGGCCAAATTGTTGAGTAAAAGACTTCAAAGCAAGAGAGCAAACAAAATGATAAAATTTATCAACGAAGATCAGAAGTTTTTGCTATTTTATCTCTATAAAGAGGTAAAATAGCAAAAACTTATGATTTTTTAAATTACTTTAAAAAAGAATGTCGAAATGTATTGCTATAGATCAGTGATTTTCAACCGGTGTGCCGCAGCACACTAGTGTGGCATGAAAGGATCGTAGGTTTGCTGCGAAAATTTTTGAAGGTTAGTAAATAAATTATGTTCGAAAGAAGCCCAAAGAACAATAAGTTAATATGTCAAAATTAAAACTGCTTTAAATTGATTATACGAGTTTTTCATTGTTATAATAAATAAATGTATAGGCCTACATAATGTGGTAAAAGATATGTATTCATAAGCAAAATTTTATGTGCACAACACCTGGTTATTTCATTTAAAATGAAATTTTCTTTAGGCCTAAATCAAAAATGTATCTAAAATTGTCCATATTTAGTTCAAATTATTTTAACTTAGAAATAGCGGAACATTTGGCAGGTTTCTAAAGGCCTGCCAAATCATGCCACTTTTAAATGTAAATTAAGACTTAACGTTAATTGCTTTTCTGATGTAAATGAAATAAATAACTATTCTGTTAACGTTCTGCTGTTTTATTTAATTCACAAAAAATATAGACAAAACGAATTAGGATAAGCGGCAAGTAATATAACGATAGAATGTTTACAAACACAACTTTAAATCACTTGATTTATTTCGCGAAAATTTAAGTATAGGTTCAAATGTGCGGTGAGATAAAAAAGGTTGTAAAACACTACTATAGATGAATTGTAGTCTTGATTTATTTTAATTCATATGAAATAAAAAAATTATATAAATACTAGTAAATATTATTATATTGTTTATATGGATTTTTTCTAACTCATATACTAGTAGACTAATCTATATCTAGTGTTGATTAATGAACTATCAAATAATTATCTTTATCCAGATTCCTGTAGTGTCAGATCTTCCAGTAGGTCTTAATCTTCAAGATCACATTTTAACTCTTGGAGTGGATTTCTTAATCGACAAACCAGTTTCTATTAATGCTTTACATGTTTCTTCTCCGTTCAATGTTCTTTCCTATTTCAAATATGGTTCTGGTGAGACTTTTACCAACATTAACTTGTAAAGTGATACATTTAACCACCATTACAACATGTTTAAATCTTTATAGGGCCATTGACCTTGCCTGTTGGTTTTGAAGGTTTGGCTTTCGTCAACAGCCGTTTTGCGAATTTGTCTGAAGATTATCCAGATATTGAACTTCATTTAATATCAGGTGGTCCGACTTCTGACGGAGGAAAAATTATTATCCCAAGTTTAGGCATAAATAATCAAGTTAAGTGTTGAAAATCATATTTTTTATTTATTATAGAAAACTACTTTACTTTTAAATTTGATATAATACAGTGGTGCCTCGTACTTTGAATTTAATTCATTCTAGAAGGACGGTTGAACTGGAAATCGTTCGAAGTCCGAAGCAATTTTTTCAATTAGAAATAATGGAAAGCGAATTAATTTACTCACAGACCGTAAACAATACTCATTTCGATAAACTTAAAAAGCAAATATAATCTACATAATTTAAAATAAAAATAACACAACTAAATGCTCTAATAATAAATCGAAATACGAAAAACTAAATAAAATACGTAAATAGTATTATAAAAAGAAAATGGCGCCGGACTTTGGCCATCTTAAACATGCAAACTGTAATGAAGCCAAGTAATCGTGACCACATCAAGAAAATAAGACTTATTTGTGGGATGCATTTCGATCTTCACTAGACCCTCATCAGCCACAATTATATAAATACATATAGCCTACCTACAACAATTGCAAAAGTCTTATTTTCTAGATGTGAGCTTAATTACTTGGTTCCATTACAGTTTGATAAGCCACGTATATCTCTATACATGTGTTATTTGTTGGTCTCTATGAGAAACATTATTCCGTTTTAACACTAGCATTTTGTTTTTATTTTTCATCATTATTTCCATAAAGTCGTTTCGAAAGTTCTATCTTTCCTGATCAGTTTCGTACGTGTCCTTTTTCGAAACATACTGGTACTCAAGGTCTTTCTCAAAAATTTTTAGCAATTTTTTTCCGCTTTTAGCAATCAATGTAATTTCCTTACTGTTCGTTTGACATTATCGAAAGTCGATTATTACTACTCAATACCAATTAATTCAATGTAAATTAATGAATAATTTGTATGATTATAGTGATCAGTATCGCTTTCTGAAATTTTATTTTTCGTACTTTCAAATATCTCGCAGATGTGTAGTTATTAAACTTAATCTTCAATTTTGTGAAAAATAACACTTTTATTGATGTTAATGCATTTATAATAAACATTTTAATAAAACAAGAAATGTTTCATGTGAGAATTTTCTTTACAATATCCTTAATGAACAAAATGTCTTTAAGAACTCACAGACTGTTCAGAAAAAATATTTAATAAAAATGCTTATTATAATTTTAATTGTAGTATTATACAGTAGTTGTATACAAATACAGCTAATGTTCTAATTTACTATTTTAAATTTTTTAAAATTTAGATACGGAAATTATACTATAAACCAATTTTATATCGAAATGCTTTCTCCATATTCCCTTCTTTATTTCACCCGAAAAGTCGCGGTTATATAAAACTGAGAAGCGCCAATCCCTATGATCATCCTATCATCCAGCCCAACTATTTATCTCATCCTCAAGATGTTTTGGCTCTTATCGATGGTAAGTAGAGATTTAGATTTTTTGTCAATCGTTTTTGAATTTTTATCAAATTAATAAATATATTTTTGAGAGATGAAAAACCAAAGTTTACTGTGACGAGTGTATATTATAATTAACTTGTTTAAAAGTTAAAATATTTTCTTACGGTAGAGTAATTTAAATAGTCTAATAATCTATAAGAAATATTAGCCAAAAATAATTTTCTATTGGATTTTAAGACTTTTCTAATATTTTATAAGAAATCATATATGATTTTTTTTCCTTAGATAATGTTGGAAAAATCGCTAAAAAATAAATTGTTATATTATAAAGAATATTGAAATTTTAGTTAGAAAATTATAATAAAAATGTTAATAGTTTCTGTGTCAAAACGAGACAAATTTATAATATAACGAGCAATTATTTATTGTGACATCGTCACAATGCCTGGCTGCAAATTTTAATCATATTTTTAATTTTTTAATTTAAAATGTTCACCTCAAATTAGTAGTGGTGGCTTGATCCTGTACATCATACTTTTCCTTTAACAATAAAGTTCTGCCGATCATTTATCTAACACTTTTCAGGGAAACTTTCTGAATTAAAATAACGTAACTTCCGGTTTGCATCGAAAGTTAATAGGGGCCTTCTGCCCCTAAGGTTACCACATCTGGTCTCGGCTTTCATCTACCTAAGTTCATTCTAGAAATCCAAATACAATAAATAGAAAGTAGCTTCCAATACCTCATCTGTACGGAATGATGCGGATAACACGCACACACATCGCTTTTGTATATTGTACTGTACATATATTATCTTACCTTATAATGTTACACAGCAAAACCTCGGTTGTTGAACATAAATCGTACCTAAAAGTTGTCTTAAAACAGAAACAAATTTCCCATAAGAAACAATATAAAATAAATTAATCTGTTCCTGACTCCCAAACAATGCCCTCCTTTTTTTACTCTTATCGATGGTAAGTAGATGTATTTCATGGATAAAATGCTTACAAACTGCTTACAAATGCAATATATTATTATATTAATAAATATTAAAAATTAATATTATATAACAGGGGTGGCCAACCTGCGGCTCGCGAGCCACATGCGGCTCTTTGAAGGATTATTTGTGGCTCTCGATAGATGTACCCGAGTTCCCTTTCCATTTTTGTGTTGTTATATTTTAAAAAATTATTATCGTTCCGTATGTGTTTCAAAATGTCTTTTAAATTACTAACAACAAATATGAAAGACTAAGTGCAACGTTGTAACAAATTTCATTTCCGTCCAAGTTAAGAATGATATGACTCATCGAAAACTGCGCGAACGAACATAAACAGTGGCGTAANGTATAGTCTAACTATACTAGGCTTTGTTATAAAGTACATCAATGTTTTTCAACCTTTTTTATCTAACGGCACACCTGAAACTATAATTAAATTTCAGTGGAAAAAAATCACATCATTTAAAGCTCTGTTTGTAAACATTCTATTGTCATATTACTTGTCACTTAATCTAATTTTTTTTTGTCTATATTTTTTCTGAATTGAATAAAACAGTAATGTTGTTCCTCAAAATAGCCGCAGGTTACAACGATAGTTATTCAAATTAATAATTTTCATTTACAAAAGCAATTAACATTAAGTCTTAACCAACAAATAAAGGTTTACTAATATAAAAGATGACAACAATGAGATACAATATACTGTAATACTACAAATACAAGTTAACATGAACGAATTTAACTCTACTTGCACCTCTAATCCGAGAATACATTGATAATCCGAGAGTATATTATTATTTCGAAAGTATACTATTAAACCTTCAAGAGAGAGAGTATACAAATATCAAACGTACTACCACGAATGTTGATCGGTTGGTAGTCTTCTTCTTCTATACGATGAAGTTCTGGACGACAGTGGAAATGTTATTATTGGAATGCAATTTGAAAATTGCATAATTATTTCAATAATAACATTTTTTTTTAATTTTAAAAACTATTAAATTTAGAAGTTTTAGATAGTTTACGTTTATGTGCTGTTTTAAATTAAAGATAGAAATATTAATCAGCATACAATCTATTGATTTATAAAATATTTCGTAATCACATTTCAGAGTAAAAGGAGTATCGGGATTACGAGTTGTCGATGCATCTATTATGCCAATTATTCCTTCGGCAAATACTAATGCTCCAACAATTATGATTGCGGATTATCATAAATGTATATTTATAAAAATATAATACACTTATATAAAGAAAATAATAATGAAAATAGGATTCAAGAAGATAATGACATCCATCATGATTTTCTTTTTATAAATTTCATTACGTTAATTACATTTTTGTAAGTAAGTAAATTTTAATTATAGTTTACTGATATTTTTGTTAGAATAATATTATTTCTTACAATACCAGTTACTTAAAAGTAAACAGCAAAGCCATGCTAGAAATGTTTCGAAAACATTTACTATAACGAATTCTTGATTAATCTAGTGTTCATTGGTAACATTTTACACTATTTTAAATAATATAATTTTATATGAATTTGTAAAGTTTTCGTAATCTTGTTAATTTTAAGAAATGTAATAAATGATTGGCTTTTCCAGGATTGAAAATAGCTATTCGAGTTGGTGAATCTCAGTATTTTAAAAAGTTTGGATCTCGATTATATTCGGCTCCTGTTCCAGGATGCGAAGGATTTCTAAGACTCAGCGATAAATACTTGGAATGCGTAGTTCGAACTTTAAGCTTTACTGCATATCATCCCGTAGGAACATGTAAAATGGGTGCAGTTGATGATCCAACAACTGTTGTGGATCCTGAACTAAGGTTTGTCTACATTAAATTATTTTCTTACATTTTTTTGAATTGTCAGTTTTTTATTTTATTGATAGAATTTACTTTCAAAAATGATCTACATTTAACATATGACTGTAATGAAAATTCTATACAAGAAATAATAGAAAACATGATAATGTTTAATGATATGTAACAAGTTTATATCTAATATTTTCATTCCATAAAGCATATGAAAAATGGCAATTTTTATAACTAGAAATTTTAAAAATTAAGTATAAACTAAGAATAACTATGTATAAATTTGTGTTTTACTTACTGGAGTGTTAAAAGTAATATTGCAATTGTGTCAAAGTTTGATCTTTTGGGGTTTTTTTTTTCTGAAAATCTCGACGTTTTCAGATCTCCTGGACCGATAAAAGAAAAAAAATCGTAGATGATTATTTGTGCTGACGTCTATTTTGTTTAATATTTCAGGACAGGACAAAGATTATATAAAGGGCATTGATGCTATTAAATTTTGGAATGTGATGGGAAGATAGAGAATAGTCATGTCTGGAGTGAAGTCGGACTTAATAAAATTTTAACTCGTAATTAATAGGTCTATTTACAACGTTTTTAATTATATAATTCATCTACCTTCAAAATTAAGCTTTTTACCATTTTATAATAATTATTATTAAAAAATAACTTTTATATTATTATCTCATAACAGATGACACCAGACACAATTTTAATACGAGCTAGTTAAAGATTTTTAAATTAAAAAAAAAAAACTATCATTTCAAAAGTGTTTATCATAAAATGCACATAATTATTTTTTTAAAACGTTTATTATTGTTTAAATTTTATATCGTAGCATAGTTGAAAAGCATCGGATTTACAAATGGTTATACTTAACCTCTGTTCGAGTGCCGGGAAAGTCAATCAAGAGCCCTTGCCTCTTTTTAGTAATGCAATATTACTAGTGATATTTTAAAAAGTCATTAAATATTCGATCATTTCTATACTATATAATAACATATACGATATTACCCAATGTCTAAGGAATGTATTTTTCATATGCTCTGTTTCATGTACAGTACAGTATAGTTTGGTTTGGTTTCATGGAATATCTGGGATGCTTTCTGAGCGAATTTTTATATCATATCACATCAAACTAAACCAAACCGAATCAAATAGATATTGGATAAACAATAAAGAAAGTATTCGCTGCTAACATTTTTTTAAATTGCTGTTTTACTCTATACGGTACACAACCCTCGCATTAGACCTACTTTCGTTTTTTAATGAAATATTGTAGGATAATATATAATGCACGAGTAACTATTTATTGTGCCATCGTCACAATGCCGGGCTGCAATTTTTTATCATTTTACAATTTAAAAAAAAAATCAGGATCTCCGGCTTCTAAGCTGTCCACGTCTGTCGATTTTCATCTATTAACGCCGTTCTCGAGATTAACAGATAGACAAATGGACGACAGTGGAAATGTTATTATTGGAATGCAATTTGAAAATTGCATAATTATTTCAATAATAACATTTTTTTTTTAATTTTAAAAACTATTAAATTTAGAAGTTTTAGATAGTTTACGTTTATGTGCTGTTTTAAATTAAAGATAGAAATATTAATCAGCATACAATCTATTGATTTATAAAATATTTCGTAATCACATTTCAGAGTAAAAGGAGTATCGGGATTACGAGTTGTCGATGCATCTATTATGCCAATTATTCCTTCGGCAAATACTAATGCTCCAACAATTATGATTGCGGAAAAAGCTGCAGATATGATTCTAGGTGTCAGGCATAATATGTATTTTAGAAATGTTAAATAAAAAATTAAATTAAAAATAAATTTTGATTGTTGAATTACTTAAATTTCGATATTGTCATAAATTATTTTTAAATTGAAATTAATATTAATACATTAATGCTTACTGTTTGATATTAGATATTATCATATTAACAGAATTCTATTTATTATATTTACGTTTTCCCCTTCTTAATCACGTTCATATTATATATAAATATTAATTTTAATCTTTTAAAATTACAAGTAATTTTATCGTGTTTATAAAAATAAAAATTGATTTCACATTATTAAATTATAACATAAAATTATTATTATTATTATTATTTATAGTTTAGCATTTAGTTGAATATCTTATAAAGCGTTTTTATTTTCAGTTAGTAATTATATAAATCAATATAATTAAATATGTAACTTCATAAATAATAACTTACTCATGACTCTTTAAAACTTTNTAATCCGAGAATACATTGATAATCCGAGAGTATATTATTATTTCGAAAGTATACTATTAAACCTTCAAGAGAGAGAGTATACAAATATCAAACGTACTACCACGAATGTTGATCGGTTGGTAGTCTTCTTCTTCTATACGATGAAGTTCATTATATAAATCAATATAATTAAATATGTAACTTCATAAATAATAACTTACTCATGACTCTTTAAAACTTTTAATTCGGTTAATTTATTCTGATATAAATTCGCCCTTTCCTTTTAAAATTAATTTAATTAAAAAGTATCCAAAAAACTGTTTATAAGATATGAAAATGGAAGTTTGACTCATATGAAATTAAGAAATTTATAGTGTAAGTCGACCATTTTTTGAATAAAAATTCGCTTGTTTAATGAGATTTAATTGTTTCAACCCGTATATTCATTGTACGTGTTATATTTTACGATAAATCAAAAGATAAAAATTTATCATTTATTTTTATTTTCATAAAGGCGTAAACTTGTCTCTCCCTCATGTTCAAGTTAGAGCGTCCATCCGTAATGGATGGACCGACCTATCCGGGTGAGACCGAAAATTAAAAATAACAAAAGTGCAGCTTACAGAGTAAAATAAAGAAGAATATTAATTGATACAGTTTTCTTCTTCAGTTTTTTACACGAATCTCAATAATAGTCGTGCTTAGAGCAATCATCATGAAACCAATGATTGAAACTCACATATTTAACCCAATAGTCCCCTTTAGAAGTTTCTAAATAGTTTTCTCCGCATTCCATACATTTATTTTTGTTTCAGTCTTCATATAACTCATCAAATTCTTGTAAATCTAGACTTTCACTCCCCGGAATGTGAAGATTGTTCTGTTTTTCTGTGTGTTACAGTTTTCTTTTGCTGAATTGAAAAGAATGTTTCTTTATAGGTCTCTTTATTTACTTTGCACTACTTTAGTTGATTCTTCTTAATCCTCTACTATATAACGTAGAGGCAATTTGTGAGGGCCCGGATTTAAGATTCGAATATTTTTACTCATTTTTATCTACCGTTTTTGTTTCGAAACCACAACGATTTTATAAAAGTTAGGGTTAACTCAAAAAGAGAAAAACAACCGACAAATTTTCTCATAAAAATCACTCATAAAATTCCGTTCCCACGAGAATACTTCCTTGTAGAAGATGAGTTAACTGTGTGTCATAATTTTGTCACTTCGCCCACTATTGGTCAAAGAAGATCATCACCTGTGACGTACATGGGGAAATCTCGAGAAGAGAGCCCCCATATAAAAGGCAAGTGCGATGACGACACAGGGGGGAAAGTTATTTTTCTATATTGTGTGTGTGTGTGTGTGGATTACCTGCCTCTCGTCGCCACCGTCTTCGATAGACTTTACAATTCTGACTTCGACTACGAACTTTGGAATGAATTACAAACCTGAGAAGAACGAGAACTCGGATCAACCCGACATCAACCATATAACTAGAGGTATTTATTCCACTCGCGAAAATATGTAAGCTCTCTCTCGAATATTTCCAACGCACGGTTAGGGTCGCGATTAATCTATATTTTGTCCGCTATCAACCCCGAAACTTATGAATTATACGATTGAAAATCCCGAGAGGGAACTGTAACCTCGATTCCCTAATTAATTATCTATGTAAAAATGCTCAACAATAAACGGGTATAATGTTAATGAACTTGGATTGGTGTGCGGTTCTTCCGACATTATCACCTCCATACTGAACCCGAAGTCCTCCACGAGATCGCTCGTGATAATTTTGTCCTCAATCTAACGCGTATCTATCTGCTAAGAAATTGATAGATTGGTGTCAGATCCTGACGTGAAATAAGGATCTAACGATCCTTAACTTTGAAACCCTTCCGCTCAAAAGAACCCATCCTTTCGACAAGAGAGACCGGACCTCAAGGTCTCGAGTCGAGTAAGAGGTAGGAGAGTCAAGAACTCGTAAACGTCCTACCCCCGATTAGTCTCACAAATTTAATGTTAATTTTTACACTTTCATAAGTGTAGTCAACACTGATATCAGCAAAGCCTAGTATAGTCTAACTATACTAGGCTTTGTTATAAAGTACATCAATGTTTTTCAACCTTTTTTATCTAACGGCACACCTGAAACTATAATTAAATTTCAGTGGAAAAAAATCACATCATTTAAAGCTCTGTTTGTAAACATTCTATTGTCATATTACTTGTCACTTAATCTAATTTTTTTTTGTCTATATTTTTTCTGAATTGAATAAAACAGTAATGTTGTTCCTCAAAATAGCCGCAGGTTACAACGATAGTTATTCAAATTAATAATTTTCATTTACAAAAGCAATTAACATTAAGTCTTAACCAACAAATAAAGGTTTACTAATATAAAAGATGACAACAATGAGATACAATATACTGTAATACTACAAATACAAGTTAGCATGAACGAATTTAACTCTACTTGCACCTCTAATCCGAGAATACATTGATAATCCGAGAGTATATTATTATTTCGAAAGTATACTATTAAACCTTCAAGAGAGAGAGTATACAAATATCAAACGTACTACCACGAATGTTGATCGGTTGGTAGTCTTCTTCTTCTATACGATGAAGTTCTTTGGTGAAGCTCTTAGATACAGGAGAGATGAGGAAATGCACAAGTGAGAATCTGCGAGAAAACTCTATTCTTATGGCAGGTTCTTAAGGATCATTGACTGGCTTCCTATGGCTATGTCATGTTTCTGTTGACAGCCCCGAATGGCGGGAAAACCACCCTTTTAATCGTCCTTTCTGTCCAATCGCATAAAAGAATCCGCGGTTACTAACGGAATGTAAGGGGACGTGGAGAGAACTGCCAGATGGGTGTCAAATTTGTAGATAAGGTTATGTGGGAAAGATAGTTGATTTCCTTTTCTAGCGAAAAAGTGATATTGTATCTTCCCTTTTTAAAAACAAACTCGTAAAACGAAATATATTTCTCACGCTAATTAATTAAATAAATCCCGATTCTCATATTAACAACAAGAAAAAATATGTCTGCAACAAGCTGAATCGTATTAATTTCTTCACATGACGTAGTGTCTTTAGTACTTCGCTCTTAAAATATCAGCACTGATCGGTGGCAAAACTACTTCAGACTTGCATATTTTTTAAATAACATTTATATATATTAGGAACTGTACAATACATACTATTTCAATCCTCTTATTTGAAAATAAACATGCCAGAAAGTGAGTCAAAATATTAATGTAAAACAAAAGTTAACTTTAATGTAAGTTAAAAAAATTTCCTTTTGTATTCACTCCATTTATTTTTGACACATTTCTTATAACTTAAAATACAAACATTTTCGGATTAAAAGATTGTTATCAATTTTTACACAATTTTAAAAATATTGACACTTTGATGAATTGATGAAGACACTTCATAATATGTAGAGCAAATTTTATTGTATTTATACCTGTTACCGTTTGATACGGAATTAAAATTATTGCATTCAAATTCAGGTAGAAATAGTTAGTATTACGTTTGATTATTTAAATAAAACTCATCAAAATTTTGTTTGATTACTATTTTGATGGGTAAAATTTCCAGAAATATTCCGACATGTAAACTTTTCATGAAAGTTATTTCCGATGATCTATAATATAACCAAAATATGTGACTCAGACAGAAAACAATTTTCAAAACAATCTAATATTAGAAACGGAAGTTTTTCACTTTTTATTTCTGCATGAATTAATCTTCGTTTTTTAAATAACAATTACACTAAAAAATATTAAAAATCGTATAAAAGAAAAATCTTATTCGAGAAATATTTTTTAGTTATTAAATACAGTAGAGCGTCGATTTTCCGAATCAATTGGGGACTGGGGTTGTCCGGATAACTGATATTTCGGATAACTGATTTATGTACGAAAAAATAGTTAAACGTATCCGATTTCGAAATTTTTTTCCGTTGCGTGTCGCTTCGCGTTGAATTTTCGTCGATGTTAAGCCTAACAAAGACTATTGTATCGTTAAAAATTATTTTTTTATTTTGTACAAACAAAATAAATATATTGAAAAATATAAAAATAATAAAAAATTATACTTCAGATGTTAATTTAGTATCAAAAACGTAAAATATTTGAGTAGCCCAAGACATAGCCAAAGATTGAAGCGCCACAGCACTGGCGAAAATTTAAATTTGCCGACTGGAATTCTTTTGGATGATTGACGTTTCGGATGATTGACTTTCGGAAAATCGACGCTCTACTGTATTTAATTAATAATGTAAATTAAATTTGGAAATATATTTTTATACGTAAATTCTTTGGATATGTATAATAGAACCAATTAAATGAGGAATCAGAGGACATCTTTGTCTTTCTTCACGGATCAGATTTTGTACATTTGTATTCGTGCATCCGTTTATAGTTTGTTCGATAAGGGAATATATTACGAAAAATACTTGGTTATAGTCGAATAATCTACTAAAATGCTGCATCAAAATTATAATAATCGAAATAAAGACATTATAAATGAATAGTTAGAAATTTACTATTAAATTCCCTAAATTTACATTTCATTATTGCAAAAATAAGAATGAAACCGATTTTTGATCAAATTACATTTTAATTACTCCAGAATGAAATCTACATGCATATAAAGGAATAAGCATCGAAAAGTGTTATGCACGGACAATTAGGATCAGTTTCATCTGTGATTAGCAGAATATGATCTCTATTCTATTAATTATACAAGTCTATCATTTAATCCATCAAACCGGAATTGCGTCCGTTATTTCTCTCTGGCTTTGAAGATCGAGGATTTCAAAACAGTTTGTTTAAAAAATTCGTCCTAATCTGTATATATTATGATAGTACTTGAATATTTATTAAATAATTTTTACATTACTTTGGTGTTTATGCTTGTTTCCGATGAAAATGATAACGATCCTATTCGGGAGGATGATAATTAATGGCATCGTATTTGGTTCCGTTACAGTGTGATTCTATTTTACCTTTATTCGCTGATTTAAGAGTTAAATTTACTAATAATCATTAATAGCATCAGATTAGAGTATTAGTAGTCGAAATTATATCTGTTCATCTAAGAAAAAAGTGATTGCGAAATCTACGAAAAGTGTTATAAATGTAAAGCAGAAAATTTAAAATTAAATAAATTTATTACTTTAATTACCTCTAAAACGTTTTTCGTGCTATTTTTGCCTGTTTTATGGCTTTTTGAAGTTTTTATAACTGTTAATAATCTCGAAATGATTATCTAATTTATTCCAGTTGATCAACTGAAATAGATCGTTGCTACATGCTTAATAGCAAATAGAAGAAAATTATATGACCTTTTAGAGTTATAATGAGACGTATATAGTATATTTTTAACAGATCATTAATATTAGAATAATTTCTCAGACGAATAAATAATTTGTAACTGTCCAGCACTACATGTTTTTTAAACAAAGTCCGGATGTTACTACTTTTATGATTTTTATATATGAAAGAAACAGGTCGTGTATATTACAACACATATATCGATCTTATGTAATTATTTTGCATCTATTTATTAATTTCCATCTCAGGTCCTATGCGAGAAAATTATGACACCATAGCTTAACTTTGTGCCATCTCACATACTACTCTAAGCGCCAATTATAAAATTCTTTAAACATTAAACTTAATCTTGTTGAATTTCTGAATATTTAGTCAACCGGAATAGAATATTTGACATTGACAAATACGAAAATTTCAAAATCTAATAACTAATTTTGATTTAAGTAAATGATAAGTTTAATCAACTTTTATATCTCCAACGATAACAATTTTGAAGCACATCGTGTTAGGAACGGGTTTATCCGTAATTATTTCCAATCTCGTCGATATAAATACCGACAAATCGCACGTTTTTCATTTAAGTTTTGCAAATGTTATAATGCTTATAAGAAAGACATTTTTATCTATTATTTATTTTTTTACGATTATGGATAGTAAAAGAGAGAGCGAAAAAACGTTCGAAGAAGAATATGATTATATTATCGGTGAGAAATTTCAACTTTTGTTGTTTATAATTCATAACATCTACTTTATTCGACTTTGTCATAATTGTAATTGCCTTGCTCGAAAAAGTTAGGGAATGGGAAATTTCAGAGTTGTAATGAAATTAATAGTCTATATTGCATTCGATTTTCGTGTTTTAGAATCTTTGCATATTATACACAAAATGTCTTTTTAATTGTACTTGATCAACGAAAGTTATAACTTAGTTTAGAATATACAGGCACTAAAAATCATAAACTTAGAAAATTTACAAAACGTTCTCAAATATTTTATAAATTGTCGTTTTACTTCGTATGCCGTCTGTTTTACGTTGATGATGTGTGTAATGGACGAAATGAGGATATACTTTTCGAAATATCGTCTATTATTTATACTTATTGTCCGTGTCGTTTTATGAATTTAAAAATCATATAAATAGGAAAAATGGGCATTTAAAATTTCAAAACAGACAAATTAATAGACACTTACTTCTATTGAAAATTATTAGTAGGCAATATTAATCAAACTGATTTGAAGAATAGTGTTTACAGATTATATACCGACATTTAGTGTAAACAGTAGTAATCTGTTTTACATATTTATCCACAGAATATTCGTATGTCGCTTAAGGTCAAAATAGGTTTAAGAAACATTGAAAAAATCCGCATGCATTTTACTGCATGCATTACAATGCTATAGTGATAATCTACAAGCACTTTATCAGACAACTTATTTTCTACAGAGTAATTTTAATCTAAAATATATGTATATACTGTACATATATTTTACTTATACATCACAGTATGTGATTTGTGTATACTTGAATGCACCGATTTCTCTTGGTGGATATTCAACGTATACTATAAAACTTCAAGTTCCAGATAGAATTTCTGTAATTGTATTCAATTTTAGCTAATCTGGATTACTTTCCATAATATTTCGTGATTTGCTGTAAGTCTGCAAGAGCTGTAAATAAATTATTCTTTGATAATCTGAAACCGTTTTGTGACTCTTCTTTGATTCTTAAACACTATGTAATGTAATAAATTCAAATACTTGGCGTTCTATCATCTTTATTTAGTTCAGTTGATACGTGTTTAAAATACATGTTTCGGGCGTATCATGCCTCTCTCAATGCCCGAAACATGTATTTTAAACACGTATCAACTGAACTAAATAAAGATGATAGAACGCCAAGTATTTGAATTTATTACACTACATAGTGTTTAAGAATCAAATAAATTATTCTTAGTTCCATGGATAATATTAACGGCTATTATCAACTGCAGCCCTTTGCAGAATGAGTGCAATTCTTTGCACTCATTTAGTTTTCCAGACATTTTAATTTTTGCATCTCCTATTGCTACATCATGATCAGAATCCAATAGTTGAAACACCTGAAAATGAAGTACTAGTTGTGCTAGCAGAGAAATAGTTCGAAGAGTTTAAACACTTATATTTGAATATTTTAGATACATTTTTTCACTAGTGCTATCAATACATTCGTTTCAGGAAACTATATGTCTATAGTTTAGCTATTCGAGGGAGACCGTGAGCAACACGAGTGATGTGGAACATTTTTGAATAAAGCATTTCAAGAATTTTTCCAGCCTGTAGAATATAGGAAGTTGTAGAAATTCTACTAACCATTATGAAAAGAAAAAACTTGTTTACATTTTTGTATGGCATATAAGTCTGTATTGAAAAAATAAACTATTTACTGTGGATAATAGCCAAATAAAAAGCATTTGAAGATCGAATATACAATGGAGTTGACATAATTTTCATAAGATATAGTCAAACTTATGTATAGCATCCGAGACAGCTCTTGCAAATATTAATTACTTCAAATTCGTTCGAAACCGCAAAACGTGGAATATAAGAAACTTCAGGATCAACTTTTTCTAAAGCTCTCCTGTAACGATTTTTAATTTAATCCACAGAAAATCAAAAACAAAATTTACCTAAGTCAAAATTTATACACTTCAATATCTGGAAAAACTGCTGTAATGGTAGTTCCTATCGAAAAGTTCAATTTGCTTAGAAATCTCGAGGAAATAATTTACTTCTACATATTTCGATTCATTTTAATATTTTCGAAGAGTAGATTTACTTGAACGTTATGATTTGTACCGTTACTGCAAAACTTCCTAAAGTTTATGCTATTTACTTCATTAAAAGTATTTTTCAGGTACTCCTCGTATAACCAGTTTTCGTTCTAAAACGACTCGAAAATTGTGGAAATAAATCTCCCGTACTACACGGTTTTCGGTTTCGTTTAACACTGTTCGGAAAATCCACTGTTACAAAATTTCACAATTTTCAATTGTAAACTCTGTTTAATTAAAATGCCTCAATGTCCTTTTCTTACTAAAATATAAATTTTCGTCTACAAGTACGTATCTTCTAATATCAGGACTTATTATACTGGCTTTACAGATAATGCTACAGAGTTTCACAGAAAACAATTTTTTATTTTATTTACTATACCAGGACACATACATAATTTTGCGTTTCGGACATATTCGTCCCTCCTCAGCAGGTACTTTTATAGTGTATTCTATATAAATTAAAAAAAATAAAATAAATTTTAAAATTACATTTAAAATTTACCGACAAAATTATTTATTCATATACATTAATAAAATTCTTACAATTTTCAGATTTTCTTTCATTTTTAACTCAACTGGACATTCAATTTTAACCAACAAAAACAATATTACTGTGAACTTAAACCTGTATTAAAGCCAGTATAATAAGTCCTGATATTAGAAGATCTAGAACATCGCGTGGCTTTGTCGTATCGCGATAGAATTGAAGTGGAGCCGGAAAGAATGAAGATATCCTTGCATTTGTTAGACACTGAAAAAGCGATTCTTGTATCTGACAATCGCGGACACTTACCGCCACGAAATCGGCAATTTTTGAACCTGCTGGTCACGGGAGAGACAATCCATAAGCAAAGCAATCGATGCCAATGCCCACCAGAGGCTAAGCGAATAAAACAACTGAACACTAGTAGTCGGGCGTGAGTTCGCCACGGAATTCTGGAAAGAAGAGTATATAGGTGTGCCGTACATGAGAAAAGGTAGTGGAGCATGGCTATAAAACATTAACAAATCGACAATTTACAGAACTGCAAGACAAAGTATGTAATATTAAATTTATTGTTAAACGTAATTATGATTCATAAAGATTTTAAGTATAATTGTATAAAGCAGTGTTTTTCAACCTCTAACGAATCGTCGCCCCCTTCAACGTAATATCGCCTCCTTCAATAAAACCGTTACATAGTATCGCCCCCTTCACTACAAAATTCCGATGCCGAGGGACAAGGCTAACGCCAAATTCGTACAGCATTGAATAGACTAGTCACTAGTATAATGTTATTTGTTTAATTATTGTACGATATAACGAATAAAATATTTAATTATTCTTAATATAATGTTTTACTATATCGCCCAGAAAATTGTTTTTCGCCCCCAAAATATAAATTGTTGCTAATCGCTCCCTGAACATGGAAAAACGCCCACATGGTGGCGATATCGCCCCNTTTGTTAATAAATTCCGGATCTCACAATAACAACCAAACTAAGGTAATAATTTGTATGAAAATTTTCAGTGATATTCTCATTTTCTTACTGTGTTAACAATGCGTAATTCATTTCCATTGTAAAATCGGCTCTCAAAAGTGGTAAAAAATATTTAACGCTATGGCATTACATAGCATATAATGTATTTTAACTTTCATTAAAAAAGAAACTTAATCTAGGTAATTTACCAAATTTCTAAACTTTTTGAAATGTTTTTCTTAAACTTTGAAAAGTTTTAATTTGCTCCTTAATCACTTCTAATCTCGAAATCACTAGCTAATGTAATAATAAGTTTTGCGTTCATAACTAGAGCAGTCTTTTTTCCCCTCTGAATTTTGCCATTAGTTTTTGCAATGTTTTCTCTTAATAGCGGCACGACGTCTTTCAAATTTTAATAATTTCACTAAAGTTGTTCTTTGAATTTAAAACTTTACACATTTTCATAAGCTATTCTTCTTTTGTGCAATCCTTCATTAAGAGATAAAAAAGGTGTAATTTTGTCCCTTAAAAACCTCGTAATCGAGTTATACTATATCTTGACATTACGATATTCTTTAATAATTTAAAAATTTTTTTTTCTATTTCAGTGTTTTACATTTTTTTTTTTTGTTATCTCACGGCACACTTGAACCTATAATTAAATTTCCACGGAATAAATGAGGTGGTTTAAAATTGTATTTGTAAACATTTTATTGTCATATTACTTGCCACTTAACCCAATTTTTTTTTTGTATATATTTTTTGTGAATTAAATAGAACAGCAGAAGGTTACAACAATAGTTATTTAAATTTATATTTTTCATTTACATACGAAAAGCAATTAATATTAAGTCTTAATTTGAATTTACAAATGGCATGATAATTACCTTTAGAAATCTGCCAAATGCCCCGCTATTTCTAAGTTAAAATAGTTTGAACTAAATATGGACAATTATAGATATATTTTCGATTTAAAGAAAATTTCATTTTAAATAAAATAACCAGGTGTAAAGCACATATATTTTTGCTTATGAATATATATTTATGGACAAAGTGATTAATACGGGCATTATAAATAATGCCCGGGCATTATGAATTATGACCAACAAAATCGGGCATTGTAATAAATTTCAATAATTTATCAAATTGACCGGTCATTATGAATACTGCTACCAACTAGTCGGGCAAAGTGATAATAATACGTTGAGGAGTGATCATCCGGCATACGTTAGCCAATCAGAACTTACATCTTACTTGCTCATGCGTATTGCATTTAGTACCGAACTTTAAATTTATGTGACCTTTATTTCTGTTGAAGATGTACCGGGTGCAGAAATTTCGCTTAGAGAATGTGCAAGAATGTCATCAATTCCTGATGGCCACAACTATAGTTAATGCTGCTGAAAAATTGGTTGAAAATCTAATAGATGCAAATGTTACCAAAGAAAAAAAATTATGTAATTCCAAATGTCATGAAAATGTTAACTGCTCAAATAAATAAACTAAAAAGCATTTAATTTTTTATATAATTTATACCAAAAATTGTTAATAATACTTTTCGTTAATATTAGTTTAATTAATATAGTTAATAGTACTTTGATATAATTTACAAAAAATAAATATTTATAAATGAAATAAGTGGAGTTTTTTTAATCAAATTTAAAATTCTGTACTAAACGCTGTACGATACGCACACGCAACTCAGCGTGCCGATTGGCTAGCGTATGTCAGATGATCACTCTTCAACTTATTATTATCACTTTGCCCGACTAGGTGATAGCAGTATTCATAATGACCGGTAAATTTGATAAATTAATCAATATTTATCACACTGCCCGCCCTATTTGGTCATTATTCATAATGCCCGATTAATCACTTTGTCCATAACATATATATTTTTTATCACATTATGTATACATTTAGTTATTATAAAAAATGAAAAGCTCGTATAATAAATATATATTTAATTTTTAATTTTAATTTTAACATGTCCACTTATTTTTTGACACTTACTTGCTAGTCTCAAAAAATATAGACACATATCCATATTGGCTAATCACACCAGTAAATAAGATTAGTTTACAAATTCTTTAATTATTATTAAGTGGTAAAAGCAGTATATAATTCAACTGTACACTTATTGTTTTTTGGGCTTCTTTCGAAAATAATTTATTTAATAACCTTCAAAAATATTCGCGGCAATCAGTGTGCGGAGGAATGATTGTTGAAAATCACTGTTCTAGTAGAAATAAAAATAAATAAACAATTTATTTCTACTTTTACGTAATCGTATGTCGATTACATTGAAAAATTTATAAATTCCGACAATTACTCTGAAATATAAATTGTAAATACAGTGGTGCCTCGTATAACGTACGCCTCGAATAACGGACGCTGCGAACAACGGACTTTCTGTTTGGCCGTTACGTGACTCGAGCAACGAACTGGCTGCGAACAACGGACTTTCCGTTCGGCAGTTACGTGAGGCGAACAACAAACTTTCTGCGAACAAGTGCGAATGATATTTTCACTCTTTTGCCGTTGCCAATGACAATCTGCTATTTTTATAACATATTAGTGTTATTAGAATATATTATTAGTATATCTTTCGGCTTGCTCCCTTGTTTATTACGTACATCACCTCAGTGCAGGGTATTTACATTTATTCAAGTGTTGTGCAAATCATGGCTTCTAAAAAAAACAGAAAGGTGATTTCAATTGAAACAATGCAAGAAATCACCAGAAGGAATAAAAGTTGACAACAACTTCCTTGTCGAATGGGAGAGGTTCAGGAGTTTACCAACGCTCATTATCCAAACAGAGCTAAGGCTAAGGATCAATGATCTCTACAATGACACCCTTGCCCGTCATTTCTGACAGGTGTTGAAGAAGAGAGAGAAACAGACCACCTTGGACATGTTTTTGAAGAAGCCAGCGGGCAAAAAACAAAGGATGCAACAAGAGGAGTTGACCCTGCAAGCTCCGGTAGCCTCTCCTGAATCTGACTCCGATTTAAAAACAATAAAAAAAGATCTGCTGCAATGTGTAAAAAGTCTGTATCTGTATGAATGTGTGAAGAAAGTGTTCCTCCACTTCCTCCTCACAACACCTGACTACCCGGCATAATTGGTGACTGCTCCATTTTCATTTTTTTAATGGTACAGTATGATTGTTTTATGCTGCGGAACGAATTATATGTTTTAACATGTATTTCTATGGGAAAATGCGTTTCGTATAACGACTTTTCACTTAACGGACGTGCACCTGGAACGGATTAAGTACGTTATACGAGGCACAACTGTATATTAGAATACTAAAAGCGTTACAGTATTTTAATAGTAAACTTCAATTTTACAGTAGGAGGAGGATCAGCAGGAGCAGTCTTAGCTAATCGACTGTCTACGGATTCCAAAAATAAAGTTCTTCTTTTAGAAGCTGGTAATGACGAAAACATTTTCACAGATGTTCCTTCTGTTGCAATTAGTTTACAAAGAACTTCTATGGATTGGCAATATCTGACGGAACCGCAGAAATTCTCGTGTTTCGGCTTAGAAGGAAAAGTAAGTTATGTAATTATATACAAACATATTAATCCATTAAATTCCATATATTAAAAATTTTACATATCTTATACGAAAGTTATTTTTGAATGACTTTATATTCTAATTTATTAATTAATCATGAAGAGGAAACTGACAGCTTATTATGACATGGAAAATATAATCATAAAACAGGATTATTTCTTTTACTATGGTGTTTATTATAAAGTCCATCTCTGTTCTAAATATCTAAATAGTTTATATATATATGGAATTTAATGGATTAACATGTTTGTATTTATATATATAAACTATTTAGATATTTAGAACAGAGATGGACTTTATAATAAACACCATAGTAAAAGAAATAATCCTGTTTTATGATTATATTTTCCATGTCATAATAAGCTGTCAGTTTCCTCTTCATGATTAATTAATAAATTAGAATATAAAGTCATTCAAAAATAACTTTCGTATAAGATATGTAAAATTTTTAATACCAATAAGAGAATTTGTATTTCTGTGAAATCAAACTCATTACATATGGTTGAAATATTAGTAAAAATGTATCTACAAAATCATATAATACTTTGGTTTCCTCTATGTATCGAATTAAAATTCAAAAATCAAACAGTAATTATTCATTATTAAAGATTAAAGCTATTATTCAAATTTACAGAACTTGATATTAATTAAATCAGAAAATACACGCAAAACTCAAAATATGTTAAATGTAATTGAAATTCGTGAATTCATATATATACACATTTCAAATTCCTGAAATTTCCGGACGTTACAATTTCGGTTATGAAAATGATTTTTTATTGATGTTTCAATGCATTTTATTGATATTTTTACATAATTATTCAATAAATTAAATTCAGGTGTTTAATGTAAAACAAAAGTTTTATTATAACAAATTTTACTTTGAATGAATGCATACAAAATTTAAGCATAAGTTAAACAAAACACAACAATATATTCAAATATTCATTGAAAAACCATTCACCAAGGATAAATTGGAATCAACTGAAATTTTATTAATGAGAAAGTAATGATACTAGTAATAAGCTATTACAATATCGTAGCAAAGGGACAATTTCTTGTTCAATAACGATACTATTTATAGGAACCTTCACCTTATTGAGCACTCTCCTCTCTTGGATATATGCGGCAATACGGTTTGAGGATGCATGTACACACTGTGGACAACCCGGACATTTGTCCGGGCGGCAAATCTAAAGGGCGGCATTTTGGTTGCGAACGTAACAAAATATTTATAAGTTAAATACTTAATTAATAGAAATTTATATTTGTCAATTTTTTTCTGTGGCTAAAATTACCACGCAATTTACATTTCGTATTTATTATTTTTGCCTAAAAGCTAAGAAAATATTTGCATTCCTTAATTCTGAAGAAAACAACCATAAAAGAGGGCTTTTGGGCAAANCTAAAATTACCACGCAATTTACATTTCGTATTTATTATTTTTGCCTAAAAGGTAAGAAAATATTTGCATTCCTTAATTCTGAAGAAAACAATTATAAAAGAGGGCGCTTTTGGGCAAAAAGGAAAGCATAAGCTACAATGTTAAATTTTGTCCCAAACCTTAGTGTCACCTTAAGAATAACTGCCGATTATACCAATAACTGTAGCTAGAGGGAGAAAGGAGTTTCTCTAAATAAAAATTAATTAAAAACTTTTTATGTTCCACTACCACGCAAAATCATCTTAATAGTTTGGCCATTTTGGCGATTGCGCACGAAACTGCCGATCAAGTAAACTTAAAAGAGTTAATAAAAAAGTTTGCAGAACTAAAAGTGAGAAAAAGTAAGGATTAAGTTTTATAAAATGACTCTGAAAGTTATCTAAAGAATAAGAGAATACTATATTTTAAATATATCTATCTCCTATCTCTTTACTTAATAAGAGATCTTAATAGTCTTTAAGCAAAAGTAGTATACATTTTTCAAAACGATAAATTTTCTTTTGATTTTGATACAGTTGATGTACCAAATAGTTTTTAGTTTTTATAGAATATAAGTTTTTTGTTTAATTGTACAATAATACATTTTTGTAATATCATTAAAAATGCATCTAGTTAACAATTTGTAACTAGGTACAGGTATATTTTAATTTTTACTGTTTTGTACTATTTGATTGTTAATTTTATATTACATGTTTCTCTCTAAATAAATTAAAGGGGCGGCAATTTGTCTTTTTGTCCGGGGCGACATAAATGCTTGAGCGGGCGCTGACACTGTATACTATCCTGCGTCATAGAGACATTACTGGAAAATCCTAGCTGTGTGCGCCGAGCATTATATCATTGAAAACTCGCTGATTGCAATCCTGCCATATAAAGAAACATATCGAGGCTTAGAATTTCATGAACGTATCCATTGTGCTAGAATATCCATTGTACTTCTACTAAGGGTGACTATCATACGAGATGTTTCACCAGACCAGCACACCGTCAGAAAAACAATATGGCACTCAAGATTAAGGTAAGATTTAAGTATCAATGGTTCTCAAAACATACAGTAGACGTCCGTCTGAAACAGAACCGAGTTTCACCGCTAAAGAGCTGCCAGTTTGTAGCAGTGCATGCTTTTCAGTCACCCACCAATGATAACGAAGCATAAGATGCAGCTGTCATAAATGCTATTGATATTATCAATCTGCTAATCTCCTTCTAATTGCTTCTCACTCTGTATATGTAACCAGACAAAATCCTCTCCAACTTCTGATCACAGTCATTGTTAGAAAGTTTCAGATTGCGAGTATTTCGTGAAAATAGCCTATCTGCTTCTTTTAGCTCGATGATGGCGGTTCTGATGCAATGGTTTGCAAATGATTTTAATCATTTGCAAACCATTGCAAATGATTTTAATCAATGACATTTCCATAGGGATCCTGTGTTGCATGTGGCAGTTGGGAATGTTGCATAAGTTTCAAGAGACTGGATCAGTAAAAGATAAGCCACGACTTAAATGCCACTTGATCTTTCTCTTCCTGCATCAGGATGATCTGGATTCATAGCTCGTTCATTGCAGGTATTCCAGCCAGTAGCGTAGCGTAGTGGGGCGGCACTTTTTAGGGGGCGGCAAAATTTCACAATAAATAATAATAATATCTTGTAAGAATTAGAACCATTTTATTTCATATTTTCGTACACCTACGATTCAGACCGATTGAAATGAGCACGGAATACCATCCGGACAGTCCGGGAATCGACTCGCCGTTAGGGGATATCGTGTGCAATCTGTTGATCTTTTTTTTTTTCTTGTACGTTTTATTAGTATATATATACACCTTCAATATCCAATAGAGCTAGGTCACTTGCGTTACTCCTATCCAAGTCTCCCTAGTCGCTAACTGTAACTGATTTAGAATCAGCATGCACTGCAAATTATTCTTCGCATTACAAAATGACATACGCATGCGTCAGGAACTTCTGTTCGAACAAACCTCACCTGCCGTCCGGGTCAGCGATTTTAAAAAGTGGCAACACTAGCACGGAAATTTTCATTACTTATTCTGTGACGAAACTGAATTTTAGTCTTTTAAATTGAGATACCTAAATAAGGGGGCGAAATTCCCCCCCCCCTATTTAGGGCGGCTGACACCCACGCTACGCCACTGATTCCAGCGTTGTCTTATCACAGCTGCAAAATTGATTAGATTCGTTTCTTTATAACTTTTGACAGATTAAAGTTAGGTTAATAAGTGAAGCATTGCATTTCTCTTGAAATTACAGTCTCATATGGAAACCTAGTAATTAAATGGGGAATTCATTTCAAAATGGTGAATTCTAGATGGCGCAGTCGGATACACAGAAAGATTGTTCCTCCAGTTGTAGCATGTTTCTATCATGTAAAAATTTCCTGTTTTACTCATTCCTATTTTATAAGTGTTAAATAACTTTTGGATCATTCAGTACTTTGGTAATTTGTCTATTTATCCAGATAGTATTTTATATCGTTTTTCCTGATTTTATACTTTGATGTGTTTATTTTGCATTTATTATTTTCTATAATAACAACAGAGCCTATATTTAATGAATTTTCTTGAATAAATTTAATCAGTGTGTTAATAGTGCGTTGTCATTTGCAATTGTTGTGTTTGTTTTCATTGGTGCATATTATGCTGTCTACGTTTCGCGAGTAATAGCTGTTGACCTATTGTCAGTGACTGTCTTGATGATCATCCGTATAATCAAATGTTTGTATATGTTGATGAATCTATTTTTTTTCACAACTTTTTGTTTGAGTTGTTTAAGCATTGTTTATAGAATTGTTATGTATAATTGTAGCACACCAGTGGCCAAGCGGTTCAGTTCCCTGGACACTGGGAGTTCAGTCTTGGGTTGGCGCCTCGCCGGGATGGTCTGGCCAAGTGGGTTTTTCCGGGTTTTCTTCACGTCCATAACGCATTAATAGGGACCAGTTAACCTTAGAAAGACCTCTCGAAAGACATCCTCCCTTAGACAGATCGCCTAAGTGTTGCGTTACCATAACTTAATAAAACTAATACGTGTTTTCTTTTCTGATCAAAAACTTAGCTCTGTAACAGGGAGATCTGGGTTATTTCGTGTGAAGTCTTATAGTTTTGTCTTTTAGTGTGTGTGTCTGTATGTTGGCATGTGTGTTTCCAGTTTCGTAATAGTATAGTGGGTACGTATAATAAATTCGTTAATCTCTTGAGCGCACCTCATTCCATTCAGGAGGTTTGATGTCCAATGGTTAGATTGCCGCTGAAACACTGCTGAGTGGATATGTTATCTATTCTCTGTGAATGATGCAGTAAATGTGTTCGTGATGCAGTAGTTATATTTTGACCAGTGGTGCGTTAGCCTTTGGTGGCCAAGAGACACTGACTGAGTTTTCGAACTTAAGTTTCGACCTAACACACGGACGTGGCCCTTGTTAACTTTGGTTACGTCTGAGCAATGTCAATTATTTTTCTTATCTCTGTATAAGTGAGTATGGTTGTGTACATAAAGCCAGATAATATCTCAGAAGCTGCTTGCGAGTCATTCTTCACTTCATTTCTCCCTAGAGACTTTACTAGAAGCTTATGCTCCAACCGGAATTGCTCTTTGGTTCATTGGAAGTATTGAGATTTTTCATTTCGACAAGTTGATAACTAAAGACAGAGATGTTCTTTAGTTATCAACTTGTCGAAATGAAAAATCTCAATACTTCCAATGAACTATTATTTTAGTTTTAAACGATTTAAAATTATATTAATTTTCCATTTTTATTATCTGTGTTTCAATGAACGAATAACTAAAAACCTGTTAACTGATTTAACTAACACTTACTGTTATTAAGAAATTATGGAGTAAGTTTGTGTATAATTATGGCATTAGCCTATAGTCACAATACATTGCACTTTTTTTTTAACTCTTTCCGCCCTGTGGGCACTAAGAGGGCCTCTTTTTGCAAGCCCATTATAGGTTCGGCCAGGCCCACAATGGGGCTGCCGGGTGGTGGGGGACGGGGTCCGACATATCCGAACGGACCACTTCCATAAAAATTCCTGGGAATTTTTCGACCCGTTCGCATTCGAGCCCGGGTCCCCCAGAGCGGTAGGCTGCTACATTGACCGCTCGGCCATCTGGCCGCCAAATACATTGCACTGTAACAGTATCTCATTATGAATAAGATATAATAACTTGAGGTAACGTTTTGCGAAATGTCAGCATATACAGATTGACCATCACTAATCCGGTATAACTGAGATCTGTACGGTGCGAGATAGGTGATTTTTACGGGATAATTAATGGTTAGTCTAAAATACACTTAACCCAACAGCTAACCATTTCATTCTATGTTTAAAAATTCATATAAAATAGTATAAAGTGGTTAATAAAGAAAAAGCAAACATTAAATGAAAATTATTGTCAAATCATTTTTTATTTTCTCGTTATTTGACAATGTTGAGCACCCCGGTTGAGCAAACAATAGCGGCAGGTTGGTGGAGCGACACGGAAAATTTCAAATTACGCTAGCCGAAATTAGTACCGAATTAGTAATGGAACCGGATTACAGATAGTCAACCTGAATTACAGATAATTTGAATATAAATATTAAGTGAAAAAATATTTTACATTACGTATAAATTTATAATTATTATGTCATTGTAAGAATTTATACTATCATCAAGCGTTCTAGATGGCCGAGAGGTAAAGTGTTAGGCGGTTCGAGTGTTCTCAATTTCATGCTCTATGTCAGAGGAAATCGCAGAGACTACGACAATTGGGCTCGACAAGGGGCTTATGGTTGGAGTTGGAAAGATGTCTTTCCTTATTTTCTTAAATCTGAAGATAATACTGATATACGCATACTCAATAATGGTAAATATAAAACTTAATATGCTTCAATATGTAGCAAACTTTTGATTGTTAAGGCAAAGTTTAATTTGTTGATTAACTTAACGAATCAATGTAGAATTTATTCTAATAATTAGTAAATTGAAACAGCATATTGCGATTGAATGTTTAGAAATACAAATTGAAAAGTTTGAAATTCTTATTAATTAAACTCTATTGCATAATTTCTTCAAGGTTTTCATAGTACGGGTGGCCCGCAAACAGTTTCTTCTCCGCGATATGCAACTCCTCTTAGAAACGCATTTTTGGAAGCCGGTCAATTACTGGGGTATCCTATAAGTGATTATACCGATGCCATTCAAACAGGTTTTTATGTAATATATTTTCATAGTTTATTTTAAGTCATGCAATAATTATACGAGCACTTTTAGTTATTAGAAGAAAACATTTCGTAGTTAGTAATGCGTAATAAACTAATGATTATATTATTATTATTATTATTACAATAATATTATTGATACAATTTTAATAATTTATTATAAATAAAACTTTTTAAGTAAATCTTAGTATTTTTATAATTAATTTGAATAAATAAGAAAATTTAAATAAAAAGATCAGATCTGTTAAACCTCTACACGTAAGGCCTCAATATATGGCTATTAGGGTTACCAAGAACAAATTGCACCGCTAAATGTAAATTTGCGTAAATTGAAATTAATCAAATATTTAATGATTTAAAATTACAAGTCATGCAAAATGTTGTTAATTATCATATATTATTACATTGTATCCATTGTTATGAATTATTTAGTGAAATTTTTGTCAAAATCAATTTGTTTTCAATAATATTATTATTTTCAAAAAGTTGAGAAAATTCCGTCTTTGTCACTTAAGATCATGTTTGGAATTTTAATCAAAATTCTGTTTTCTATTTGGTAAAGCCTTAAAAATTGAAAGAATTACATTATTTATGTTCTAGAACAAATTTTCAATACTGATCGTCCAGTAAAAGTTACTTTAGGCCTATAATCATAAAATCTAGCAAACTCGCTGTAGAAGGAATCGCCGTGAATTTTGATGTTAAAAACAATAACATAAGTTAAACAATAAAGTTATTTTATAAAATTCTAATACATAGAAGTACCCACGTAAGTGTCTTTCTTACGTTACGTTTTTTACACACTTCGGAAACATTCAGTCATTACGGCGAAGTCGCTTTTCTTTTATAGGCTACTTTCCTTGCCTTAATATGTAAAAACGGTAGTAAAATATTACCAAACTTCGACACAATTACTTAAAATTAATTTTCAACTAAATATCAATTAAAATAATTAATTAAAAATGACAGGAAGAAAAATTGATGAATTACACAATTCTAATACATAGAAGTACAGTACCACATAAATGACTTCTCACTTATATGGTACTTCTATGTATTAGAATTGTGTAATTCATCAATTTTTCTTCCTGTCATTTTTAATTAATTATTTTAAGTGACGTTTAATTGAATAAAGTTATTGTTTATGTTTATGCCTACTTATTTATGCTTACGTAATGACATAGCTACATCATTTATATTTAGTTATTAATGTAGTTCATATTGTGTCATTACATCAAGACCTAAGACAATGAGTTAGGATGGCGCACGGCGACCTACGCCGACCGTTAAATACGACGTTAGTAGAATCGCTACAAAAAGTTTTAATTGGCATAAATTTGAGGTTTTGTAATTGCGAATAACATTTTGAATAAAAATCATTCGTTTCAACGAATTTTTATCTTATAACAATAAAATCAAGCAATTAAACTAAAATAGCATTATAGGAAACCCCGTGAAATTTGACTTAACGACCCGAAAGCTTTTCGAGCACATCGCTGATAACGAGAGAGAGTTAATTTTAAAATTTGAGCTTTGTAGACTTGGTAATTTTTTCGTCTAGGAGCGTCTGCAGTACCAAATATGGGGGAAGGAAATACAGCTTTTTATCGATTTTTCACTTTTCAATTGCTTATATTCGGCAACCTTTTTTTACAGAACTCCAAACTCTAAAATTTTTAAAACTACTCAAAACTTCCTGAAGATCACATTCAGAATTACTAGAGACGTTTGATGATCGGAGAAATAAATTCCGAAAATTGGCAGTTTCGATTCCTGTGTATATAATCAGTCAGTGACTTTTACTTTCCCGGCTCTGTTATATAGAACACAGAGAAAGAAAAGCTCACGATTGGTCAAAAATGATTTTTACATTTTTGGACTCAGAGTAGCTTCAAACGTCGAGAAATGCAAAACAAATTCGAAGGTTTTTCTACGGGTGTTTGTTTGTGTGACACGATTTTGTCCACCCTGTTCGAAGCTTAAGAATTCTTGTATTTCTGTTGAAAATTTTTGAAATTTTGCAGGGAGGTTGTTTATTACGGGAATTAATACTATTAAATTATGGTAGTGAAAGGTCAAGGTGTAAAGAGATAGAGAGGATTGTGTTTCATATCTCAAGTAGGGTGGAACTTAATAAAGATTTTACTGGTTATTACCTTTTACAATTTTTTATTTATTTATAAAACTAATCTTTACCCTTATAATTAAGGTTTTTTTCTGGCATTTTAAAATAATTAACAATATAAAATAAAAATAAAAAATAAAGTTTCAAGATGGTGCCATACACGATTTTAAAGTTTTTTTGCCGGGAAAGTTATGCAACTCGTCGCTGGATTGTTACTTTATTAATGCAACGATACGTTAGATTAATCAATAGAAATGTAATTAAATAATAAAATAACACATTTAGTTTCTTAATTTTTATATTTTTATTAAAGAAACAACAAACACGAATCTTCTTTTTTTGACAGAAAAAAGACGGTAATTTCAATGAGACAAATCGATATTATAATTGNACATAAACGTGATGTTTATTTTCATTTCGATTGGAAGTAAAAACTGTATGGAATAAATCTATAAAGAGTTATAAATAAATAGATAATTGATTAATAATTAAATTTAAAAAATTCAAATGTGAATATACAAATATTGATAGAATAAAATAGACATGTTATGCTCTTCGAAATTTATCTTAGGAATGATGTGAGTGTGTTGGATTTTGATAAATCTTTTTATTGCAAATTTCAAAACGTGATCTCTGTTGTAATTGATAAAGTCTGTAGTTTTCAGGTATAATTTTCAGTTTTTGCAACAAAAATACATACATTTATATATTTATAGGTTTTTATTATCCATTATCAACAACAAGATTTGGAAGGCGATGCAGCACCAATAAAGCTTTCTTGAAACCAATTCAACATCGTCCTAATTTAAATATCTTGCTGTTTTCCTTCGCAACTAAGGTAAGGGCATAATATTGAGATATATATATTTTTTATCATACATTCGCAGAGTTTTAAAACGAACTCTAAAGATTATTACTGTGAGATCTTAAATAATATGTGTAAACTCATGTATCGGAATTTTAACGAGGGTTTAACGGAAAAGTCGAAGTTTGACTATAGCGCATATACAAAGAACAAAATTTAAACGAAACAGAAAAACGATATAAAATTCGACGAAAAGAAAATGTCGCGCGAAGTAACTAAACTTCCTGGATATACAGGAGAGAAAACATTATAATCTACTTTGTAAGATACGAGTGTGAGAATCCAGAAGCTGTTTTTATATAAATTTTAAACAAAAAGATAAGCTTTAGAACTTTCCCTTTTTTCGTACCACTGAGTAAAAACGGGTAACTGTCAACAAGTCTTTTTCTTCCTCAGATCGACCAGCGAAATTAGCACAAATATGGGAAAGCATTATAATCTAATTTATAAGAAACGAGCGAGAGTTCAAAGTTCGCTACACAACGCGCGATTGAAAGTGAAAATGCTACTCATTGACCAATGTAATTGGTAGCACTCCGCTAACACCCGTTTTGAACTTTGCGTTCCTGATTTCGGTACGACTTTTACTTTTCCGGCTGTCATATAACAGAGGAAAAAATCCAGCAACGAGTTACTTAACTTTCCCGGCAACAGTTAAAATTGCGTGTGTGACTCTCTCTGTTACGATATTCTATTATTAAAAACCATATCTAATTGTAATTATAAAGTGATAAAAAAAAGCTTAATTTTGAAGGTAGAGGTGAGTTTGATAAAAAAAAAAAATCGTAAATGTTTATCGAGTAAAATCGTCGTTAGGTCCGACCCTACTGGAAATACGACACACGGTTCTTTTCATCTCCCCATCCTCTCGAGCTTTAATCACAAAAAATAAAAAGCATCAATCCATCTATTACACAAGCCTCCCTGCAAAATTTCAAAAAATTTTCGACAAAAGGCACAGGAGTTAAAGCTTCAAAGTGGATGAAAAAAATCATACTACGCACACGCAGATATAGTATGTCTTCTGAGACCAAAAATGTAAAGATTAGGAAGATTTATTTGTTGACTGATTGCCATACTTTTCCTCCATTTCATACAACAGTCGGGAGAGTAAAATTTATTTTATAAGTTTTTATAATTAACTTCTTGCCCATTTATTATTTGTTTGGTCAATATATTCTATACGATGATCGAAAAGTCACGCGCAAGTAAGTTCGGAATCGATTTACTTTGTGAAGTTAATGTAGAAAATAAAGTAGGTAACAATAACAAATAACTATAATAGTGTTATTAAAACATGCGTTTGAAATGACCTCGTTCACGCTGAAACTGTTTTTATCACGTTTAATGCCACGTGAAACACTGAAAATTGATGCTAGCAATAGCAGTTATAATGTTTCTCTTCAGAAAAGGAAAAAAAATCTGACGATCGTGGCGGCCACAATTACTTAGAAATAAAAGGAGTGCAAAGTAATTTTCTTCAGACTTGCAGGATCTGGTTATTTCTGATGAAACTCGTCTGACTTGTGAGACAGAAAAGTCAGAGTTTCTATAAGTAGTCAGAAGTCATTATAATAACATCTTGTGGAGGGAGGTAATAAAATTACTTGACACAATTTACACAAACTAACATTTTAATGTGCGCGATTTTTCGATCATCCAGTGTAATGTATTATATTTAAGGGTTTATTTGACATTGTGGCTGTATTACTTTAACCCGCATCAATTATTATGGTCTAAGAGATTTTATACCCTAACACTTTTTTAAACTAACCTATGCCGAAATTTATACAAGTTTTATTAAACAATATACATGAAAAGAAGTAAGCGCGAAAAGAAAAACGTTTTTTAAGTCATATTCGTTCATTTCATGACCGATTATAATGTGTTTCAATAGCGGTCAAATAAAAATTTTTTTCATTATAATTGACTAGAAATACAATAGAACATGATCAAGACATGAATTAATTCAGTAAACTCAAAACACAGAACAATTAACTTATATCATGAGTTCAAATTTCATTTGAAAGAGTTTTGCTCAATTTTACTTCAAAACGTTTAATGAAAACTGAAAATATCAAGCGAAAATGTTTTCAAGTTTTAAAATTAAAGCTTTTCTTAATCTAGTAACATCGATAAAATATTTTTTTATCGATGTTACTAGATTTATTTTTAGTTGTTACTAGATGTTACTAGACATTATTTTTATTAAGAAGTTATTAACTGCAGCGGCGGCCTTATCCATTGCGAGGCTCTGGGCGGCAGATCTTTGCGAGGCCCTTGTCCTTTGTGCAAAGTATGTGAATTGAAATAGTAGGCACTTATTAATATTAATATATACTGTACTATAAATTAAATTTATTTTATTGTTATAACTAATAGCCAAGGATAAAATAAAAAGTTGTAAATATCAACTTTTTTCTACTTGGTTGTTGCGCGAGGCCCCTCCAAGAGCGAGGCCCCGGGCGATTGCCCTGCTCGCCACCCCCTAAGGCCGCCACTGATTAACTGTATCTTAAATTCAGTTATCATTGTGTGATTCAATGCTAAGCGAATTTGAGCAGTCATTTATTGTTAATGATATCTATCATATATCTATGCATATCTACGTAAGTATGATAGATTAATAATAAATACTGCATTACGTATTGTGAACAATTACGTCCATGTTTAAACTTAATAATTGAAATTTTACAATTCAGTATAAAATATTTCTGTGAGAATACGACAGGCGAATTGCTCTCTAATCGTCGTGTTGGTAGGATTTGCTCACTCTGTCGGTTGATGGCTCATATTGGAACGACGAAAAACATTCGAGTTGGAAGAGAAGTCGCGGGTAAGTTCGATCAGGGTCTGTATAAATTGAATGAGTCATTTACAAACATAAAACATGTAATACATAAACGAGAAAAAGGTATAAAGTCTACGAATAACGAAACGAAATAAGCTAGCTCTGAAATAAACCGGTTTCACCTCAAAATGCTGAGTGAGAGAGAGTTTACATAGTTTTATGTAACAATACCTCTGATCTGTGACCTCTATATATAGGAGAAGGAGGAGGGCTGGATGTTAGCAAGATAGCAAGAGGCAGAATAGCTGTCCTCTTGTCTACGATCCTCTATGACCATTGTGGATTATGGTCGTCCCATCTCTACAGCCGTCTCTCCTCTATGGCAGTTTCTGTCGTATATGGAAAGTTCTTTGGAACCACGGACTGCCTCAAATAAGGTGAATTTACCCTTTTATAAAAAGGGTAAATTCACCTTATTTAATTAAGAAAACTCCTCCAATCACACCTTGCGATTTGCACCATATGACGGGATGAACTGATGGTCTAACAAGATATTCCACCTGACTCAGATGACAGATGTTCAGGAAATGTGTGATAAGATCTTATAAAAAGGAAGTTTTTCTTCCCTTTAACATAGGTGTGTTCCAAATAAAATGACAAATGTGTCATTTTACTGTTAAATTATTACTTTCAATTATTATTTCATCAAATTTCGAACTTAAAACAAAATAATTCGTTACTCTCGAATCCTCACATTTCATTTCTAGATTATTTTCGATGAATATAAACGAGCTAAAGCAGTTCAGTTCGATCGATTCAAGAGATCTTATACTGTTTATGCAAGAAAAGAGATAATTATATCAGCTGGAGCTATCAACTCGCCTCAGTTGTTAATGCTGTCAGGTATCGGCATTAGGGAACACTTAAACAAATTCAAGGTAAGTTTAGTAAAACTGTATGAAATGAAATTTTAAACAATAATAACCTATTATATTAATAAGAGTATTACAGAAAAATTAAAAAAATTAAAAATAAATATATCCCTGAATAATGTGTGAAATTATCCAAAATACATTGTAATACTGTAGTTAACTGTATATGCTTTATATATAGAGAGTATATCAATAATGCATTGAGGACGGCAGAATAGAATAGCAATACTTAAGCTTGATTTGGTTATTTTCGATCAATTATAGTTAAAAGTTTATATCTCTAAACAATCTGCGTTGACATACAGTTATAGTTTTTGAATCTCAATTGAATATATCCAATAAAATAGAAGATCCAGAAATCTTTAGAGGGGTGATGAAAGAAAACAATATGCCTTAAAGAATTTTTACTGCCCGAGGCTTTACTCGAGAAAAACCCACAGAAGAAATGCAGCTGCACCTACGTATCGCCTTATTCTTTTCCCTGGGCTGTTATCTATACTGTATTGTGTAAATTTATTTATGTAACTCAGCAATTGGTTATTTTAACATACTTTAATTTAGTATGAGTAACCTATTTGTTTATAATTAATGTTTCATGTATTATGGGATTTAAGTGTTTTTAGTATTTGAATTTTTAAAATAGTATTATACTTAAAATTTTTGATTGTTGGTTATTACCCTGCACCTCTATTAGTAGATGCTACAAATAAAAGGATGATTGATGTAACTTAGTCTGTACGTTTAGGCTAGCACCCTATGCCCTATGGGATAGTAAATAAAAAGGATGTGGTTAGATATTTAATCGGTGTTATCTGTATGAGGTAGTTAATGGGGTGTAGCTGTATTTTTAAGGTAGTGATAACTAGTTGTAAATGTGCACCCGATGTCCAAGGTCAAAGGGCAGCATTATAGAAATGGTGTATTTAATTTTAAGTGGGTTTTTGGGATTTGGCATAGTTACACATACTGCTATGTTAATCGTGGGTGCAATGAAAGTGCTTTTAAAAGAGTTTTTGTGGTTGAATTAATGCTTAGGGTAGCGTGCTATTTTTAGTACTGTTATTGTAATAGTGGATTACGGTGCTCTTTTAAAATTGTTTTTGGGTAAGTTTTTGAATTTAATGAGTTTATGTGTTGTGGTGTGTCTCAGGCACTTCAGGTGTTATTTTTTTCTGCCTTTTGGGTCTGGAGATATTTTCTATTTTAGTGTTATTTGTCGGGTGTTTACTTTTGGGTTTTTAAAATTTCTGGTTTTATTAATAAAAGTTACTTACTGTATTAATAATACTTACCTTGTGTCGGATATTAGCTGATTTGCGTTTTGGATCAGGCACAGTGAAGGTTGGGTATATAGGTATTTTGCCGGAGACACAACCTGGAAATAATTTCACACTTTAAAACATCGAATTGGTTATTTTAACTGACAGGATTGTGATACCACTTTTAAATATCTCTATCTGTAGAAAAAAGATATTATTTATTTGTAATCATAAATTTTACCCAGCTAAAAGGACAGAGATAATGCCCAACGAAAGATCTATTTCTAAAATATTGATTGAGATAAATCTTTTATTTGCATGTTAATACTAACTTGTTAAATTGTTTTCAATCTAATATATCATTAAACATTTGTAAATTTAATATCTATATTCTCGAGTTCATACAATGTATTTTTTGTTTTGATTCGCTAAATTTTTAGACAGAAGATTTAGACTTACATGAAATGATATACAATATTTCTATTTATTGCAATTGCTGTTAAATCACAGCAGATAGGTTGTGAGAATTTGACTACATTAATTAAATACGGCATTTTCTTTCAATAGCAAGTGCCCTCTAATAAACATCACAGCTGCAAAGTGAAAAAAGTAATATATAGCTCACTGTTTATTAGAATAAATATGGTATATTGTGTTTCTCCCAAAACACAAGAATTTAATCTCTGCCAACAAGAACATTTTGACGTTATCGCGCAATTACGACACTGCGTCATCATTTTTCGCCTTTGTAAAGAAAACTAGTGTCAAAAATTAAGATTCATTTGTACAATTAGTAAGAAAAAATTTTCTTTGTTCCTGATTCCCGTAGTTTATATATGATTCGTAGCTGATTAATAGGGTTTCAATTGGTTTAGATCGTTGTTCTTCGTTCCCAGCATTCCGGTATTTAAATTAACATTATTGTTTTGCATAATTATAGCGAAGTGTTCTTTTACCTTTCGCTTTACATTATTTTTTTCCCTAATAATTATTTTTAATTTATTAATATTTATCTGACAATTATTACTATTACAATGTTGGAAGACAGGAGAATTACTCATTTTCAAACTTACGGCAGCCAAATGTTCCGACAGTCTGATCCTTAATTTTCGTTTTGTTTCACCGACGTAAAAACTAGGGTTGTTACTTTTTTATACCTTTTTAAACTTTTTTTTTTTAATTTATAGTCATTATTGGCTTGTTTTTTAAAAATTGAAGTTTTATATTATCCAAAAGTCAGAAGGGAAAGAAAAATATAATTTTTTCGTAATTTTACATTTTATGTAAGAAAACAAAAGAAGAAATTTTCTGACTCCATTGAATTTTTATAACCTTTTTTTGGAGAAAATAATCAATTGGTACCGGTATGAATTTTTAGTAGAATAATATAACCTACAACAACTGAGGCTTGGATTTTACCACGATAAGATATTATTACGAATATTTTACTTTGGTACAAACCAAGCTCATGTAAACTGAAATTAGTTAAAATATGAACAACAGATCCGAAATTTTTTATTATTTTTTGTCAAACACTAAGAAAGAATTTGTAATTGAGAGAAATTTATATTTGAAAATAAACATCTGCTGGATATTCAGTATAATATACGAAACACTGACATCTACTTATATTCAACATTTTAAATATTATAGATAAATAAGACTATTAAATAAAAATATTCAAAACGTAGAGAAAACGAACTAAATTATGTTTAAAGAACATAACAATTTTTTAACATACACTCGTGTTAAAAAATCTCACTTAAAATACAATATAATATTGCCATATTTTTTAAGTCTAGATATGGAAATATCTAGACTTATAAATATTCATTATCCGGAAGAAGAGTCAAAAGTATTACGCACTATTTTATTATAAGAGAAAGTTGCTTGAAAACTTGTTAAACTTTATTATAATCTTTCAATATACTTTATTCCTGTCAGCTCTCCATTTCTGTCGAATTGCCGGAACTGGGTAATAGCAACAGATAGTGCATGCTAAAAATGGATAATTAATTAACTTCGCGTTGTTTAAATCGTCTTGTTTATCTTTTGTTTCACATATTTTTGTCCAGGTGGTGTTTTGTCGACTTAAAAATTATCAGGAAAAAATTAATTAAGAAAAAAAAACATTAACTAAAAATTTTTATTTCATTTTTAGCATATTTATTAGTGATGTAACGAATTTCGGTTACTATTCGGTATTCGGCCTATTTTTCGCTGTTCGGCAGAATACCGAATACCTAAAAACAAGAGTAAGAAATAACAAAAACACACTAAATTTATCATTTTGGTATTTAGATTTAATGTTATCGGGTTAGTGTTGTTTGTTTATATTTATTTATAACTTATAACATGCTCAAAATAAGAAAGAAAATAATATTAGTCACATGTATTCACAATTTATAATTACAAAGAACAGCAGACGTACACGTCTATCGTTGGAGAATCCTCGCACAGCTGAGGGTCTGACCTTGCCTATCCTTCTTTTTAAGCGCTCGTCTCTACTCTTCCCTTTCTATTTCCTGTATCGTTCTAGTCCACATATGCCTATGCATACATCATAGTACGCGCTCACGATACTTTCGATTCGTCACTTTTCCGTTCTAGATTTCCCATTTTACAATTACGTGTCTTATAGCCTGGTGATAACGGAGAAAAGAGACAGATAGGACGTCGGTATGAGTCACAGTTATGATTTCACAGATTCGAGACAGATTGGTAGCCCGAACGGCCCCAGGCTTTCGCCCGTACACGCTAAGTGACTTTCATTACAAGCATTTAGCTTTCCGAAGTCTATCACAACAATTGCTTGGCACTGACGGACGCGAATTTTGAGCCAATAAGTTGCTTCGACTTGTTCGATTATGTTATCAACTCAATTTCATATTTATTTTCACATTTTCACTTCGCTGTCCTTTTCTGTTCTTCTTCCGTTATTTACATGTGTAGGTCATTTCATTGTTATCCACATTTGTTATCATCATTTATCACATACTGCCACGATGCTCTTGTCTGTCTGCTACAACTGTCAATAATTAACGCGATTGGTTAAGCGTAGTGACAGCGGCCCAATAGATAGCGGGGTTTTTGCCATAATGCAGTTTGCGATCCAATTTTCATACGTGCATTAATCGAGCCGAATAGTTTGGCCGAATATTCGGCTATTCGGCCACGCTCCTGGCCGAATATTCGGTATTCGGCCTGAGGCCGAATATACTATTCGTTGCAACACTAATATTTATGCAATAATACTGTATTACTATAATAAGTTCATTCATGCTGTAATAAGTGCATTCAGCTAAAATATAAGTCAACGTGTTAGAAATATTCAAGTTGTGACCTTCAATAAAAAATAAAAAATATATGAAATGTCAACATTTTATATATATTCCGTCATATTTTTATATATAGAATTTGTCTGCCGTCGCCCCTCTAGATTTCCTTAACGCCCCCCAATTCTCTTTGAGCCTTCTATTGCCTCCCTGAAAGCCTCCAGCACCCACAAAGGGGCGTTATCGCCCACTTTGAGAAACACTGGTTTAGAGTATTTTAAATTTACGAGGATATTTTTAAAATTTATATTTTTATTAGAGTTGGTAATTATTTGTTTTATTAGTAAATAACAGATATGTCCGGCATTCGCTCATCCAAACAGGATAATGACTAAACATTAAAATTATATTATAAGTTTGGTTATTTTAATTTGAAATTGTTATATCTATGGCGAAGTGTCGATAAAATAAAATTAGGAAAAGAATGGGGAGTCCGGATTTCACCAAAGTCTATATTTTCTCCAGAGTAGATAAAGAAAAGAATGAAAAATTTGAAGCGAATCGAAGAAAGCATTTAGAAATTAATGAGGGGGATGAAATCAAGAGAGGGGTAAGGTGTCCAGGTTTCGTGATAGTGTATGTTTTCCTCAGATTCCGAGATAAACAAAAATAATTTCAGATCGACCAAAAAACAAATAATAGAGACAAACATTTTATATTCTATATAAAACCGACAAGAGATCGTCTAGTTCAATAGACTAAGCAATTTCGACGTTACATAATAAATCCGAGAAACAGCATATTGCGACAGAGTCGTCTGCCCTAATTGTTCCGAGGAATCATGTAGTCCTACAGAACCGATCCGACAGAACCGTCTAGCTTAAATAATTCGAAAAACTGTCTAGCTTAACTGTTCCGATGAAACCGTTCCAGTCGCAACAGTTTCGCCCTCAGATCAGTTTTAACAGTTTCAGTTCCACAAGTGGAACTAGATTGCCTACGTCTAAAACCTATTATAAGTCCGAATCAAATACTTTGTCGGTATCCGTAGCGGTTTAAATACTAATATTTCAATGTCCAGTCATCTGGCTGATTATAAATTTATGAATAAGTTCGAATTTTTACTAATTTCAGCTGTCTTAAGCTCTTATTTATAGCTTTTTCGAATAATAAATTATCAACTAATTATTATCATACAGATTCCAGTCGTGTCAGATCTTCCAGTAGGCCTTAATCTTCAAGATCACATTTTCCCTCTTGGAATTGATTTCTTAATTGACAAACCAGTTTCTTTCATCGCCTACCGTGTTGTAACTCCATTTAATGCTCTACCTTATTTCAAATATGGTTCTGGTAAGACTTTGATCGATATGTTTATTTGAACAAAGATATTATTTGAATAATATAATAAAAAGACCGTTTTTATAGGACCGTGGACCATGTTAAGTGGGAACGAAGGTTTGGCTTTCATCAATACCCGTTTTGCGAATTCTTCTGATGATTATCCAGATATCGAACTGCAGTTTCAAATTGCCAGTCTGACTGCTGATGGAGGAGCAATTGGAATTCCAGCTTTTGGCATAAATAATCAAGTGAACTACTGAAATATTATTTTATATTTATTGTTAATTTCATATAATACAGAACTGTTTATAAAAGTAGTTTTAGAGACGCATTCATAAAGTCGCATAAGAGTCATATCTTTTTCTCTTAATCAAAAATATAGATTTATAAATCTTAAATCTATGCATATACATAATTTAAAAAATTATGCGTAAATCTATTCGCAAATCCTCTAACTACGATATTTGATATTTGAATATAATAGTTCTATAATCTGGCGTTTAAGGAAAAAAAGTGTGCCAGATCATCGAAAATGGCGGAGTTCTGGACGTTGGACGTTTTTGTACTGTCACAAATTTCGATCAGTTATATATCATTTGAACATTTTAAACCTTAAACTACAGTACATTTTGTACCAGCGTACGCTTCTGTATGCTTACGATTTGTTTGCATACTCTCTTCTTTCAGTCTGTTAATGACACTGTTTACGACTGTACTTTGTTAAGATTACATTGCTCTCTATCCAATGTGAAGTTAACATCTCGTGTTGTGCATGCACCTCACATGTAAGTACATATTTCAATTAAAAACGTAACTTCAAAATTATATATTTTTGAAGCCCATTATAACTGGACTAATCTTATAATATATACAACAAAATTGGTAGAATCATGTCAGCACGTGGAATAACATCGTAATTTAAGTTCGGCACAACACTGCTGAAAGGTTACCGACCTTTAGGACATTCACAAGAAAAAATAAGTACGACAAATTTCGTTATCTTCAGAAATGTATATAAGACAAATCACATTGATCTCTATATGTTGATATCTATGACACAAATCTAACCAATCCAGATTTCTAAGACCATGAGATCAGATGGACATAACTTGATAACTTGAATAACTTCATTACTACTTTCAATACGTTGACTTTCAGAATTCAGCAATAAATTCTTGAAGTATTGAGTGTTATTGCCAGGGATTATGACCCGTTAGGTGTTCTACGACCAGTTATAAATCAATCAAAAATCTTTCTACAAAAACTTTGTCTCAGTAAGCTCGACTGGAGGATACATCTACCTTAAATCCTCAACCACAATTATGAATGGGTGAACATTTTAATCCCTCGATTAGAGCTGTCAGCTTGTCTGAATTGTCTGAACTGATCGAAAAGATACGCTTATGTTTTGAATGGATATAACTGGTCATCTTACACATAGATTCATCTATTGCAGTCGCTTGGATCAAAACTCCACATCTTGCCTAAAGACTTTTGTTGCTAATCGAGTGGCCAAGATACAGTCTATCACTGAAGGCTGTTACTGGAAACACTACTGAAATAGCCTTTCACTACAATTTGGCAGATGCCATTTCTCGGGGATCAAATCTGCAAAATCTACAAACAATGGTTTTATGGTGGGGTGGGCCACAATTTCTACAAGCACCATTTGTCGAATATCACGACGATATATATGTCATCGACATTTCGTCAGATAAACAATATCAATATGAACTCAACCCCCCTAAACATGTAGGGATTGAGTTTTGTGGCCTTTTTTATTAAATATAAGGGACAAAAAAGGATACTTATCACAAATGTTACGTTGCAATCTTCCTTTTCCTTTGACTAGGGCAATCCATCTCGAAGTAGTTAGATTTAACAACCGAATAAATGATAGCAGCCTTAAAAATATTTTTCAGTCGAAGAGGTAAAAGTCTTTAATTTGGAGAAATAATGCCACAAATGTTTTGGGTTCCAGTGTGCAGTTCAACAAATTACAAGCCTGACATAAGTGGCATTTTGGGATGTTAGCGCTTCGAGCGTCACCATTCCAAATTTGTAACGGAAAAAATTTATAAAAATGTGGGTAGGAGAGTATCTTATATCACGGTTCCTTGTTTTTATGTAACGGTTCTTGTTCTAGGGTAACAGCCCTTGGTTCGGTAGTATATTTCGTGTGTTTATAGTCCGCATTAAACCTTTTTTCTCAATTGTATATTCTTGGTACAGTCTATCAAGGGTTGAAAAACACCATCTATCGTCAATCAATGAGAATACCATCGCAGTTTTATATTACTTCCATCTGGGACAGCATTAAATCATTAAATACATTGACGGTGTTGAATGATCAAAAGGTTTTTCAGCAAGACATATAATGAAATATTTGAGTTGTTACATCGCAATCAAAGTGTACTTGCTACTCTTCTGGAAATGCCAAAGCGGTTTGCTAATGCCGGAAAGAGCATTAATTTTCATATTATGGAAGAAGTCGTGAGAGACATTTTTGAATTCGGTTCAAGAGCGATGAGTGAGACAAATATCAGGCAACCTATAAATGATAAATGTGACGCCAATAACTATTTTATTCTAGTCATGGATAAGTTTTATAAAATCGTTAGATAAATTTTTCATCTGGCATCAATGAAAAAAGAAAAAAAATAGACTTTATATTGTAAATATCAAGTGTCATTCATATTAGTTTAAAAAACAAGCCACGGTGTAAACCGTCTAGGTTTTCCGCAATTTTCTTACAAAACATCAAAATGAGAAAATGTATTTTTAAAAAATATTGAAACTTGTTCACCCTCAACAAGAAAATTGTTAGATATCTACTATGACGATCGAGTTTTCGAGTGGTTAACGTGGCAGATAACTCTGGAGGACTCAGGATCGAGATCGGAGGAGTCAAAAAACACCAGAAATTTTTAGGCGACTAGTCTCCATCCTAATATGTTAAGTTACCTGGTCGCCCTGTTGCGGGCCTGGCCAAACCCATAGACTGTTATTTTAAAAATGACCCTCTTGGTACTCATGGGACAAAAATAGTCTTAAATATCTAGTAAAAGTATTAGTTCCATTTCGTCTATCGAAATCGGCAATATGACGTAAAAATGTTGAAAATTTATTTTGCCAGCAGCTGTTGACGTGATGCAAAGTAGCTTGTACAGTATTAGGAAAACTCAAACTCATTGTGTCATTACAGAGAAGTAAAAGCATTTCTCTGAGACGACACAATGCAAATTAATGGAAATTCATAATATAGCCAATATTAATCGCAATTAAATTCTCTATAAAATTGAGAAAAGCACATGCCTATTCAGACAAATCTACAAATATTTCTAATTTGCGAAAAATTTGTTTGCTTTATGCGATATGATGCACAAGGCACTGCTGGAAAAAGACAATTTAAGTTGTAAAATATTAAATGCTAATGCAACTAGAAAGTATTTAGTTGAGTTGAGAAAGTACGGTACATGTAAGTGCCATTATGACCAGACAAAATGCGTTATAATTTATTCTGACAACGCCGAAAGAAATGAAAAGATGTCTAAGTGTTATTACTGCAAGATTAAAAAACTATTGCATTAAATGCTACGAATACACCGTTTCTTACGAATGCTGTTGTAAGCAAATCTACGCACTGCATTTTGCATACTAATTTAACTTGTAATCGCATTGTTGTGATCGATAGAAAAACACCGACACTGGAAGGATTTGGTGTTATCATATCGATTACAACAATGCACTAGAGCAGGACACTGCACTGCGTTGTATAATAAGAATACATTATTCAGTATCACACATTAAGTATGAACTATAACTACATACGACACTACTACGCATACAGGTTAGCTATTGAAACAGAATTAGGTTTATATTCAAGATACTACAAGGATCTTATACATTATCAACTATCTATCACAGGAGTGGAATGGCGAAGCGATTAATGAAGTAAAGTTAGGCCTATACTGTACTTAACTCTACGATGTCAGACAGAAGAGTCGGAGGAGTTTAGTTTCTTTCGGGGAAATTAGAAGAATGGCATTATAAGGAAGAGAAACCAAAGGATGACTAAACATGAACACTGCCAGGTACTGTATTGAAACCTTCGCTTTTGGAGTTGGACATAGTATTTTACTAATCTGATCGGAGGCGAGGGTGGGTTTGATAAATAATGTTACTCTTCCTATGTCTGAGCATTTATCAAATCTCTCTTCTCTCATTACTCAATAAGAGATGCTTACTTATCTCTTGGATATATATTTCTTTGTCTTCTCTTTCTGACTGTCATGAATCTCCGTATGATTCATACTAATTTTTCCAAAGCTCTGAGTCATCCTGTTCTTTTTATTTCTATGTATATGGGTCTTCAGTAAAGACTTCTATCTAAATCTACAATTTTTCCGATAGCTCGACATTTTTCTAGTCTGTCTTAACATATTAAATGTCATCAAAAGGTGAAAGCATTGCAAATCTTTCTTTATTAAATTAATTAACAAGTGTTTGCGAAAACGCAGAGAAATGTCTGATATGTCTAAAAAACGAAAAATCTGAATATTTTGATGTTTGGCTTATAAAACTAGCAATCTCATTTATATATTTTATGTAACATTTTACCATATTATTAGTAACTTAATGAGTTTTTAATGGAATTGCAGTATAAAAATACAAAATTTACATTTCGATTAATTATATTGAAGGAAAAGAAATTTGATTCATTTATTTATATTCAACAAATTATGGAGGAAATATATATACATAATACTAGCAGATAAGCATGGCGTTGCTCGGGCAAAAAGTAACGATAGCGAAGAGTAAGATAATTACATTATAGCCAATCTTACCCGTTTTCACAGAATGCAAGAATGAGGTCCCTCGTTTCCAGACTAATTAGAGAATTTTTACATGGGTCTAAAAATATGTTCGATTTCCCGCTAAAACGCGAAAAAACGCATCTGCGCCTGTAAATCTTGCACGACGCTTTCTCTTAACACTTTCATTGTTACTCAACACTTCCATTCTTAACACTTCCATGTTAACACTTCCATTCTTAACACTTCCATGTTAACACTTCCATTGTTATGGAATATACTTCTTTCATCCTCCTTGGTATTCTACTACCGTGTTTCCCCGAAAATAAGACAGTGTCTTATATTAATTTTTGCTCTGAAAAATGCGCAAGGTCTTATTTTCAGGGAATGTCTTATTTTTTCCAGGAAGAATTCACATTTCTTATTGAACAAAAAAATTCCCAAGTCGAACTTAGACGAGAGTGACGTATATCCCGTGTGTCGAACTGTCGCCTTTCTATAGCATCAACATCGGACTCGATGACCAATTAGAGCTTACTGAACATTAGCACTATGCAAATGTCATGTGGCGTGATTCCCGGCCGACCAATTAGCCATCACCAGCCGTAACGTTATGCAAATCTGTGATTCCCATGCCATAGTCTTATGCAAATCATGCCGTGTGGCGTAATTGTCTGCTGACCAATCAGTGGCTGTACTTTCAAAAAGCCAACGGCCACTTTCAACCATCTGTCGATGACCGTTTCGACTAAAAAAAACTTCGTTAGGTCTTACTTTCAGGGGGAGGTCTTATATTTCGCAATTCAGCAAAATCTGTGCTAGGTCTTATTTTCTGCTGATGTCTTATTTTCGGGGAAACACGGTAAATGTGGTAGCCTACTAAAACGCAGTTAAAAACGCAAAAAACTACATCTAAAATAGTGCAATAGAAGCCGAGTTCTTCATGGTAACCCTTAATCCTCTTCCTCTCCCTCGAAAGATCCCTTTTTAGTGTGCGTTCTCGTAACGTACCTTAACTGTGTACCATATTTGAACTTTCAACTCCTAACCGTTTGGGCTCTGCACTTATTATTATTGTTATTATTATTATTATCAACCCATCTCGGTTATATATATAGATGCCATACCGAATATTCAACTGGCACTTTCATGGCTTATATGGTTTACTTGAAAACTTTCCAGCAGAAACTCAAATTATAATCTATAATCACAAATGAGTAATAAATCTTTTTTTAAAAAATCCTTTGATTTACCATAAATAAAAACAATTGCTAATAGGATGTTAAAGGCGATTTTTTTTCTTTTCGTAAAGTTTAAACAGTTTTGGTTAGTCAGAAGTTACGAATAAACTTTAAAGATATGATTGAAATTAAAAACGAAACCAGAAATAGAGTTAAACTTGAAAACGATCTCATCGTATGCATTTTAAATACAGAACAAAGTTTTGAGAAATTCATCAATAAAAAGCAGAAGTATTCATCGCATTAATTAATATTAACATTCTGAAGGAGTTAAATCATTTTTCGTAGCCTCTCTGCATTATTCCAAATTAAATTATTTATGCCAATTTAATTTGTTTTTTCATTAAACGTAAGTGAATTTTTCCTTAACGTGATTTTTAAAATATATTTTTGCTTTATTTCCAAAGTTTAGGTCACGACCACGCTTGGAAGTACAGTATTGTTCTATTGAAAATACCTTTTCTTAACGCTGTCATGTACAGTACTATGCTGTACATCGTCATCTCTATAGTTAATGAATTGTTCAGTCCCTTGGGGTTCCGTTTGACTGTATTACTAATCTTTCATTTAAATATTTCTTTTCACTTTAGGTTAGAAAATTATATTATGGGCCTATTTTAAATCAGGATGTTTTCACCATATTTCCTATTTTAATGCGTCCAAAAAGTCGTGGTTATATAAAACTCAGAAGCACTAATCCCTACGATCATCCTGTTATCCAACCGAATTATTTATCTCATCCACAAGATGTCTTGACTCTTATAGATGGTAAGTAAAAATGTTTTTGTTTTGAAAATTTAATTTGGACATATAAAATTTGTATAATATAAAGAAATCATATAAAGTAAATTTATTAAGCTAAAAAAGCATTTTATAGTATTTATAGCCATTTAAATATCCTAACAGTCAACAAGAAACAAATATATCTATTTAGATAAAATTTATATTTGGTTATCTATCATCTGGATACAACAAATTTTCTATCGAATCCTATAAAATTATCGTATATTTTTTTTAAAAGCTTGTTATAGATAAATAAATACCATCTAAATTCCGAAAATATCAAACATTTGGTTAAAAAAAAGAAGCATTAATGGACCGGACCGTAGTTTTACCTAGTGACTAGGTAAAACTTTACGCGAGATTGAAAATTGTTCTGTACGCATTTTGTAATTTAAATACAGTGGTGCCTCGTATAACGTACTGTACGCCTCGAAAAACAGACGCTGCGAATAACGAACTTTCTGTTTGGGCGTTACGTGACTCGAGCAACGGACTGGCTGCGGACAACGGACTTTCCGTTCGGCAGTTACGTGAGGCGAACAACAAACTTTCTGCGAACAAGTGCGAATGATATTTTCAGTCTTTTGCCGTTGCCAATGACAATCTGCTATTTTATAATATATTAGTGTTATTAGAATATATTATTAGTATATCTGAAGTACAGAGCTCCCGTTGGGATTCGGCTTGCTTCCTTGTTTATTACGTACATCACTTCAGTGCAGGGTATTTACATTTATTCAAGTGTTGTGCAAATCATGGCTTCTAAAAAAAACAGAAAGGTGATTTCAATTGAAACAATGCAAGAAATCACCAGAAGGTATAAAAGTTGACAACAACTTCCTTGTCGAATGGGAGAGGTTCAGGAGTTTACCAACGCTCATTATCCAAACAGAGCTGAGGCCAACAGTATCAATGATCTCTACAATGACACCCTTGCCCGTCATTTCCGACAGGTGTTGAAGAAGAGAGAGAAACAGACCACC